ATCTTGGGCGAGGAGGGGATGGCGGCCGCGCTGGAGGGGAAGCTACTGGTGTCCATTTTGGCCGGCGTCAAGATTGAGCAGTTGAAGGCGGTGGTGCCGGGGAGTACCAGGGTCGTCAGGGCGATGCCGAATACGGCGTCGAAGGTATCTTCACTACCCCCCCCCCCCCCCCCAACCCCGGGGGTCGTCGTCGGGGAATTGAAGGGTGGGAGCTAATAGTAAGTGTGCTGCGGTGCGGGTAGATCCGAGAATCCATGACCGTCATCTCCACCGCCGACGACCTCCCCAACGAGGAGAAGACCCTCGTCTCCTGGATCTTCAGCCAGATCGGCAAGTCGCTCATCCTCGGCGAGAAGCACATGGACGCCTGCACAGCGCTGTGCGGGTCCGGCCCCGCCTTCTACGCCCTGTTTATCGAGGCCATGGCCGACGGTGGCGTCATGATGGGGCTGCCGAGGGCGGAGGCGCAGATGATGGCTGCACAGAGTAAGTTTCTCCCTAAACCTGGGGGGTATAGGGGCTAATTTATGTGCGTGAATAGCGATGCAAGGCGCGGGCCGCCTTGTGCTGTCGGGCCAGCACCCGGCAATTATTAGAGAGCAGGTGTCGACGCCGGCGGGGTGCACCATTGGCGGCTTGCTTATGCTGGAGGATGGCGGTGTGAGGAGTACGATTGCGAGGGCGATCCAGGAGGCTACTAACATGGCTGCTGGTCTGGGAAGCTCAAAGAAGAAATAGAGCTGGCGTGAATTTATAGATATTGGGATATGGGGCTTATAGACACTTTAGGAGTACGCGAGTCATGTAGATATGCGGAATACCAAAAGTTTTTGTTCGGGGTATAGAGATCTGAACGCTGTTCTGTGAAAAGGTGCTTTACTCGGATAATTGGGTTTGAATAGCGATCTTTTGAATTGGAGTCCTGGATAGCCCCCCCCAGTATATTGCTTGGGTGTTGGTTACCGTAGAATTATTTGAGGCTGTGGTAGCAAGTTACACCCACTAGTGGCTCGACTTGCGAGTGATAATCCATGAAACATGAGATTCAGATACGATTTGGAGAGAATGCTCAATTCACGAGCTTCAAACGAGAACAGAATCCGAAGAATTGAGGACTAGTTACTATGAGGTGATATATGCAAAGTGCAGCCCTGCAAAATGAACACCGAGTCAAAGCTCGGTAAAATAAATAAAATGTGCCCAGAACCTTGAATTTTGAAGGAAAAGAATAACAAAAAAACAAAGCGCTGAATAATGCTAACCAAGCGAGACTAACTACTACTAACCGCATCAATCCTCATTCGTCTCCCTATCATTTTTTCACAAATATTGTTCAAGAAAATAACACCCAGTAAAAATAGGAAAAGTTTGTACATAATTTTAAAACCGCCTGGCTATGCTATCCCACCAAAACGTGCACATCTAAGACTTGTGAGCCTTGGCCATGGTGTTGAGAGCTGAGCCGTCCTTGAACCACTGGATCTGGCCCTCGTTGAAGGTGTGGACAAGGTTGGTCTCCCATGGGCTTCCGTTCTTGGGGTGGACCCTCATTCTCATGGGCTTGCCAACAGCGAGATCGGTGATGAACACTAAATCATTCAGTTAATCAGTTGTTCTCAACGATTCTAGCCAAGGGGATTAAACTTACAGTCAATCTTGTCATCAGGGTTGATCTTGTCGTAGTCGGCAGGGTTCTCGAAAGTGAGAGGAAGCATTCCCTGCTTCTTCAAGTTGGTCTCGTGGATACGAGCGAAAGACCTGGTAATGATGGCAAGACCACCCAAGTGCCTGGGCTCAAGGGCGGCGTGCTCACGGGAAGATCCCTCTCCGTAGTTCCAGTCACCGATAACAACCCATGGGATGCCCCTGGCCTTGTAGTCACGAGCAGTGGCTGGTACGGCATCGTACTCGCCAGTGATGAAGTTCTTGACACTGTTGGCCTGGCCGTTCTCAGCGTTGGTGGCACCAATCAACATGTTGTTGGAGATGTTGTCCAAGTGACCACGGTACTTCAACCAAGGACCGGCCATAGAGATGTGGTCGGTGGTGGTCTTACCCTTGCACTTGATCAAGATCGGGATGCCCATGGCGTCCTTTCCGTCCCACGGCTTGAAGGGCTCAAGTATTTGGAGACGGTCAGAGGTAGGGGAAACCTGGACCTGGACAAATGAGCGGTCCGCAGGAGGGGCCTGGTAGGTGTCCCTTCCTGGGTCGTATCCGCGCTCGGGGAGACCGGCACCAGTGGGAGGGGCGAGAATGAACTCGTTTCCGTCCTTGTCCTTCAATTTGTCGGTGAGGGGGTTGAAGCGAAGATCACCGGCAATAGTCATGGCGGTGACAAGGTCGGGAGAGGTGACGAAAGCGTGGGTGGCGGGGTTCGCGTCGTTACGGCCAGTGAAGTTACGGTTGTATGAAGAGATGATGGAGTTGGCCTCTCCCTTCTTGACATCACGACGGTCCCATTGACCAATACAAGGTCCGCAAGCATTGGCAAGAACAATACCACCGAACTCCTCAAAGGTCTGGAGCTGACCATCACGCTCGATGGTAGCACGAATTTGCTCGGAACCGGGGGTGACAGTGTAGACAGACTTGGCCTTGATTCCGTGGTTCAGAGCATCACGGGCAATAGAGGCAGAACGGGACATGTCCTCGTATGAGGAGTTGGTGCAAGAACCGATCAAACCAACCTTGAGCTCAGCGGGCCAGCCGTTCTTCTCAACAGCATCCTTGAACTTGGAAATCGGGGTAGCAAGGTCGGGGGTGAAGGGTCCGTTGATGTGGGGCTCAAGAGTGCTCATGTCGAGCTCGATCAGCTCGTCATACTCAGCGCCCTGGTCCTCACGGAGCTCCTTAGCGTAAACGCGGGCAAAGTCTCCAATGTCCTTACGCTTGGTAGCAGCCAAGTAGTCGTACATGCGGTCGTTGAAGGGGAAGACAGAGGTGGTGGCACCAATCTCAGCGCCCATGTTGCAAATAGTTCCCATACCAGTAGATGAGAGAGATTCAACACCAGGACCGTGGTACTCAACAATAGCACCAGTTCCTCCCTTTACGGTGAGGATACCAGCAACCTTCAAGATAACATCTAGCCAAATCATTAGTATAAATGACAGTGAACTATAAATTGCGGAGATATCATACCCTTAGGAGAGGTCCATCCGCTCAGCTGACCGGTGAGCTTAACACCAATCATCTTAGGAGCCTTCAATTCCCAAGGAAGGTTGGCCATAACATCGACAGCATCAGCACCACCGACACCGATAGCACACATTCCCAAACCACCAGCGTTAGGGGTGTGCGAATCGGTACCAATAAGAAGACCTCCGGGGAAAGCATAGTTCTCGAGAAGAATCTGGTGAATAATACCAGAACCAGGTTTCCAGAATCCAATGTCGTACTTAGCACAAGCAGATGACAAGAAGTCGTAGACCTCCTTGTTGATCTCCTCAGCCCTTGCCAAATCCTTGGCTCCACCAACCTGCGCCTCGATCAAATGATCACAGTGCACAGTTGATGGAGTTGCAACCTTAGGCATACCCGCACTCATGAATTGCAGGATGGCCATCTGAGCAGTGGCATCCTGGCAAGCAACACGATCCGGTCGGAGCTTGAGGTAGGATTTGCCGCGCTCGATCTCCTGGCCGTGAGGATCGTCCAAATGCGAGTAGAGGATCTTCTCGGCATATGTAAGAGGACGGTTCAAACGGGCACGGACAATAGCGAGGTTCTCGCTCATCTTCCTGTAATCACGATCCTTGTCTTAGCACACGGACCACTAACATGTGACGACACCTGCACATCATTCTTGCTTTATCGTAACAACACTTTTGATCACTCGGAGAATGATTAAGGCGATTGATACCGATAAAAGCAAAAAAAAATCTCCACAGATTTTAACTCTCAAAGAGAAACATACTTGTAGTTGATGAAGTTACCCTATAATCAGAAATGTTAGCAAATTCATCCGAAACGAACCCATGTGCCACCCGGATATCCGGGCGTTTCCGAAAGATAGCAAAAAATTTGCAGCGGGGAAAATTATTCACAAACCTTCTCCCAGTTGGTCATTTCGACCTTCCTGCTGAGTGGATCATCACTGACAGAGGCCAATCCACGGTGCTTCTGGCCCTAAATTTGGAATTCTTCATCAGTATGTTTCTTTCTTGAGCACCTAGACTCCATCGTCGAGTGATAGTATTTTAAAATACTTACAGCTCTAACGCCAGCGCTCTGAAAAGAGTAGAATTGTCAGCTAATTGTTTAAAATACTTCATGCTTGATAGTTAATAGAAAGTAATCATACCAGAGGCAGCTTGGTGGCCCTGGAAAGGTGCCTGGAAAGCATGATGAATTATATAGTTGATGCAAAGAGTAACAAGCTAAAGTCACTTCACTATGGAAGAGAAGAGAAGATGCACCTCTTAAAAGAAAACCCCCGGTGAATAAAACGGGAGAGGATGGGTGAATAAAGGGAAGGAAAGAAGAGGAGAAAGAGGGCGGGAAACAGAACGAGGGTTTAGAAGTAGAAGGGTTGGGGGGGTCTGCCAAGACGTTGTTAAAGCAAGAAATGCAACTCAGCGTCACGGGCAGTGGTTTGTGCGTTTATCTCCTGCACACCCCGCTGAGAGAATACCAGGGGTGGGGAGGCGGGGGTCAGCTCGAAAAGAAAAAAAAGCCTCTCAAAAAGGGTTTACGGACATTCTGGGCCAATCACATTGTTTTGATTTGTGAAGCCTGTTGTCTCCTCTTCGCCGACCCTCGGCCCGACGAAACCCTTCCCTCCGCACCCTACCGTGTCCGCCAACAACAACCTCCGATAAATTATTTCCACTAGCGTAGGTAAGACCCCCCACATCACACACACTAGCCCCACGCGCCACAGAGCCTCAAGGTGCGAAGAAAACTTTCCGGGACTTCAGGCCTCAAAGCTCCACTGTGCTTATACCAAATCTCCAGGTTCCTTTACTCCAGATCGGAACTTTTACATCTCCTACAAAATGGGCTCAATTCGTCGTTCAAAAACCAAGCGAATGACTCGGTATTAAGACCTCAATCCCCCTTCATCCCCCCACATACCAATCTTTGCATAACTTCGATCACTCTCTTTCTCAATTCAATGGCTAATGCTAACATGTTTTAAACTCAACAGCGGCCTCGATCAAATCCATGCAGACCTCCGCAGTTCCAAGCGGCTCGCGCAGCTGAGGGCGCTTGTCCCAGATGAAGACAAACCTGGTCTCGGTCAATTTCACTGTGTTGAATGCGCAAAGTATTTCGAGAGCGAGTGGAACATGACCCAACACACACGAGGCAAGAACCACAAACGAAGGTACGTCGTTAGAAGAATCATTTTGGTCTAAATTTAATGAGAGCTAAAGGAAAACTGTGGGGAAATTTCAGAGTGCGTATGCTGCTTGAAGAGCCCTATTCCCAAAAGGAAGCAGATGCTGCAGCTGGGTTGGGAACCTCTTCGTTTTATGAGGCGCTCGAGGCAAGGAAGGAGGCAGAGAGAATTGCCAAAGAGTCCGTAAAGCCTATGGAGGATGTCGAATAAACATTCGATCTGAGGGCTTCTTTACTTTTCCCTTTCTATTTTCTTTTCTAAATTTTTACTCTTTGCGTCATTTATTTGTTCGGCGTTTTAAATAAAAGTGCTTTTGTTACGAATTAATAGCTGCGAGTATGGCACTATGTGCAACGCGAGAATTAGCACATTATGGTAGCTCCACGGATGTAAGGGTATCAAGTGTCTTGTTTCTGTGGAGTCTGCCATATTGGGTAATATGCTTTGGAAGCTCTCAAACCGTAATATCTATGAAGAGTGCTACGTAAGCAAGTATCTCACCTCCACAGTAAGTACATTTGTTGTGAAATCAAACACTTAAACCCTCAACTCCAACCCATTCTCCATGCAACCAATCCTAGCCCGTGTTGAAACGTGATTATATACAGCCATCCGAAGTAGTTATGTTGACTAGTGACTAAAATTCCCCAAAATCCGAATGCCCGGTTTTAGTTGCGTGCTCCACAGCTGACTTCTCTCCCTTCAAACCAATACCGCAGATATTGCATTTAATTGCGAAATTCTTGGTATCGGTAAAATATTTTCTCTTCCTAAGCTCCCTACACAATTCCAGTGCACCTTCAATCATCTCATCATCATTCGAGTCAAATATTCGTATATCGTTGCTCGAGTCGTGCTTCGATGACCCGGCCGGTGAAAGCACTAGAGCGTCGTAATGAATTCCGGAATAAACCACAAATGCTCTCTTCGATTTTCCTTCATTAAACCGGATCATGTCATTTGTAGAAACATCAATTGTGCATATCTGCCCTAGTCAGCGTCTTGCGTTAAGGATAAATGTAAATACTGTATCCAACGAGGTTTCCACATACCTCCATGTCAAAAAAGTTTGCAAAAATTCCTAACTCGATTCCACCTCCCCAAGAGCTATCCATAGTAATCCACTCACAATAAGCGTCCCTCTTCTGCTCAAGGACTGCCTCGGAGTAGGTCTCATGATCTTCCTGGATGGTGCTTGCTACAAGTTGTCGCAGCTCTTCGACCGAGTACATGGAGTTCGTCATAACATACTGCCATCCCTGTCAGTCTTTGTCCGTTACAGTTGATTTTCCTTTTCTACAGTGCTTTTGAGGGGAGTGCTACACTTATCGCTCTAAAGAGACAGGAGTTATCATCTTCCATAACTCTTAGCATAACAGTTCCGCGCCCATTCTTGAGTGGTACATCCGGAGGGTCATCCTTGTTGATTTTGGGTTTCAAAGAGCGCGAGAGACTCAGTGGCTTTGAGTTTGTGGAAGAATTCAGAGCTGCAGAGCCTTGACCTGCAAAGGAGAATGGAGCATTTGATTTTGGTACTGTTGATGACGGTGGCACGTAGACCCCAGCCTTTTCTGTTTCAATTGTGGTAGCCTCGCTCTTCTTCACTACGCCTGAACCACTTCCACGAAGAGCTCCCCCGCCGCTTTCCGAAATGATTAATTGCTCGCCTTCGAGCTTTACTGGTAGCTCTTCTAATAGGGAAGATGAGGAGTATTCGTTCAGTTGAAGAATCTTAGGCGGATACCCATATTTTATCTCCATATCTCCTGAGATGGAACATTTCGATCTGATTTCTGATAAGAGAGACGAGACTGTTGCTTCTGGTGAGAGGTTGAGGACCTGCGTTCCTGTCGGTGAGCGAATCTTGATGCGCATACTTCTAGTTATTTGCAGAAAGGTTGATGAAACTGACAGTTTTATAGAAATAGGAATGAAGTGAGGGGAAAGCTTTTGAAAGGGGCGCAATAGCTGAGGGTGTGTGATACTGTTGAGGGGGTGACGCTGTTGGATATAAGGTTAGGTAGCTTGATAAATGTCCCGAATGTCACGCACGCTTTTAAAAGCGGCAAAAGTCGCTGGTTGCAACGTCGCTGGAGAAGCCCGGTCCACCCCAGCTGAAGAATCCCAATTTCCAATCTTCATGGAAAGAGATGGAAAAATACTTTCCGCTATTTGATAGGCCGGTTTGCGCTTTGATCTGCTATGTGTCCACGATTCTATCCCAGCATCATTAGTCTCACTCAAAACCAGATCACGCCAATGAATACATGGACGTGTGTAGATATATATGTCTACAGATGAATACATACATGTACATACAATGATACAATAGCATGTGGTCTATAGTTTATCATATATAAGAATATGGATGCCAAGGCTGTATACCCGTAGCGCTCCCTTTAGTGATAACCTATCTTGCCATACTCTAGATGTGCCGGCTGCATGTATCCTTTGTTAACATTATCCTTATTATACCGGCTTCATCTTCACATTACAAAAATACATAACTGTGTTCCACAACCGGGAGTTGGCGGTTGCGGTCCATGTGATTAAACCATTTGAATGGTGATACCCACATGTATATAGGCCTACATGTACGAGGCAATATTATGATGAGTGATTTGAAAATCCGTTAATTGGCTCATGATCAAGAACGATTGATTATTAATATTAGTAGATTGTAGAATAACACCTTCAATTTATCAAGCTATCCTTTTTTCGTGGGCCGTAAACAAGCCACAAATCCTGAAGAGTGACCGGGAAATCTGTTGATCGCCTGCATAAGAAATGGCCAACATGTTTTGACAGCATAGGGATATACTGCGTACCCAGCACGGGTCTTGATCATCATGGATCACTCGCACGGGCTTAGGGCCGGGATACATATCATTTTTTAATTGTATACATGCAAGTACGCGCGGAAATGGGAAATTAAAGAGAGACTTTTCTGTATAATTGACTACATGTACATATATATGTATATAACAGATCTAGGGCCGTATGTAATAGCTCTGATAAACTACATGTAGTTAACTCCTGATCTTATCATACATGTACTAAACATCATAAATTTCCACCCCTTAATATATATAGGCCACCATTTCCGGCAAGAATAATAACTCCAAAACTCACAGGGTCGGTGGCTCAAAATCAACACGGGGTTCCTAAAATTCTTCGTCTTACAACAAGATTGCGAGCTAGTAAACTGTTACTTAATGCCCACGCTAGTGCCATTTACATTGCAGATGCGATTCAAGAAATTACCTCTGAAAACCAGAAACATTGTCACGATTATAAGATGTATGTATATAACCCATGTCGCGTGCCTTATCACACCCAAGATCCGTCGGCCTAAAGTCTTTGTTGACCATGAGCGGTTGGGATATTCCACGTCAATAGGGCGAAGCCCTGTAAACACGCCTAGAGAGGGTCGCTATAACCAGTGAAAAAATAGCCTGCTTAGTAAACCAACGAGGGTAGCAGTATGCCTATAGCTAGTCTTGTGCCGGACTGCCGAAGGCGCAGCTTAGGGTTCGGTGGAAGTTGAGGGCTACGGGTGGGAGTTAAGGGTTAGAGGGGCACGGATTACTCAAAAATTGACCAAATTATGGGGAATCCGAGCATCTGGGTTTATCGAGACTACTATATGCCCTTGTGTGTTAACTCAAATAAGTGAGAATCAGGTAAAAGGGGACCTATATATACTTCCGTACTCCGGCTTTATTGAAAAATGATTTAAATTTGGAGGTGTGGTGTTGAAGGTATGGTGTTGAAGGGCACAAAGACCACGAAGCCGCAGAAAGGAGAGATGGCATCCGTGCAGAATAATGATGTTCTTATACATCTCATTAGACCGCACCTAGCGCATTATAGTTATCAAGGCGGATAAAGACACTAATAACCCGAGGCTGTTAATTCATTTCATGTCAGGTTCAACTACATAGTACTTTACTCAACATGTAGGCTACCAGGTCTTAGGAAAGATAATTTGCAATTGCCGTCATCAGTAACATATATAAATATGTAGTAGAAAAAGACAGCCCGTGACAAGTTATGGGACAAAGTGTGTGTACGTACATATAGGTAGTCATAGTGTCGTGGTCTTTATAAAATCCATGGTATAGAAGACCTTTCAATGACGTCTCTTACTCCTCAATAATGACATCCGTGATATAGAAGTTCTTTGATCATAAATTATACATAACCAACCAACAGAAACAATAATTAATGATCCCGTCAAGAACGGGGGTCAACAACAATTTTGCACGAGTGATATATCATGATCTAAATTCCTCGAGGCGTAAATTAAGTAAAAATATGCCAGAAAGGATTCTCCAGTAAATATAGCCAATTCATGTTATACTTCGGTATATATTTAGACATTAGAAGTCAATATCTTCTATAAAGGGTCTGGAACTAGTGCACCCACCCTTTAAAGATGTTCGTGATTCTAAAGCCAGTCGACACCAAGATTGAAGCGTTTTCGTACCATTTACCGCCTTAGCTCCCGGTATAATCTTGCCTAGAGGCCAGAGCTTAATTCCCGAGTTAATCTATGTATACCTCTCGTTGACGCTCTAGATTTCTGCGAGGGTGGGTTGTATCGATCGATAAGAGGCCTAGATAACAGTATTCATAGTTGGGATTTCGATCGTGATTAGCTAGGTATTCAGGTTGAGAAAACCCGAATAAGAGAATTTTAAATTTCGCCCTTCGTTCAACATTAGCACGTTTATTTGCTTTCGTCGTCTAGTGCTGAAACATGTAGTCATGACCGAGTGATATATTATGAAGAAACAATCAAAGACATGTTTGGAATCACGTGACCACATCATTATCTACGCGAAATAAACCCCAACGCGTAAGTATCCGTCTAGTCTCTCATCTTATCACAACGCAGAAATGCCGCCTAGAAGAATCAATAACCGGCAACCTCATGACCCAGTTCTCGCCGGATATAATACTTTCCTCGAAAATTCTAGGCTCGACGAGAATGGAAACCCTTTCTCGGAAACCATCTTTAGGATCGAACAGCGGCAGGACTGGGCCCTTGTGAAGAACAGGAGAATTCTGAACTCCATTGAACACAATGGAAATTCTCTCAGGCACAAGGCTGATGGTCCTCCTTCACTTTTTGATATAGTCAGGCGATTTTTGAACCAGAACCTGAAAGATCTGAGTATCGAAGCATTGGAGGGTGTTCCGTGGTCTATCATGAAATGTATCTGGGATGATGTATTATCTTCGTAAAGCTTCCTGATTCCAGTTATACCATATCCTCGCTCATGTGTGGTGTTAATTGTGTACGTGTGTAGAGGACAGGAGAACGTCCAAACTTGGACATTGTTTGCTACAGTTTATGGCGTAAATAACCCCATTGTTCCCGAAAAGGTTGAGCTAATTCTAAGCGACAGCAAGAGCCCGATTTCGATACTTCCTCCGATGAGAAAGAAAAAGAAGATCGTGGTAAAAGGATAATTTTGAAACGTCAGGTTTCCATAAACTCTCTTATCGCCCCGATTTCGTCTTCAGCTTTCTCATGGCTCGTGTATCTGGACATGCAGCGTTCATCAGGCTACACTCGCTATGACTTTCTTGAGCTTCCTCAATTACCGAACCTCGGAGCTCTAAACATATCACGACACCACCAGGATCTCGATATAGATGATGGCATAATTAGGACATGGTCAATGGCTGCGGTTAATCAAGGCAAATTCACGAGATTGAAAATCTTAATAGCGAGAAATCATAAACAGATTACACCTAGGTCTTTAGAGTATGTGGGATGGATGAAGAGCTTGGAAGTTTTAGACTTGACTGGTTGTGGCACATATGATATGGTGATAGCTCTAGCTGCATGTTGGAAACTCGATCCGTTGCTTAACGACATCATCAACGATCATGATATAGTTTGGAAAATTATAAGGGGGGAAGAGGATGGAAATGAGGTAAAAAAGTTAATATTGCAGGTTAAAATTGAAGCCTCACCTACGGCTACGAGAATTAATGGCAGAACTGAGGCGGTGTTTCGAAGGCAAGGCCATCAATTAAACACCAAACGCAAGCGAGTCCCAGGTACCGAATTACCCTCAGAACTGGCAATGGAAAGATCCCACCCTATGACAAAAAAACCGGGAGTCCTCCGCAACTCGAAAAAAAAAGACATGGGCAGTCTACTAGCTGAATTCGGGGTGTACGGAGGTTCTAGTAGGTATTGCAACAATGCTATTCCATTGGAGACTCAGAAGTTCACCTCAGCGACTAAATCTTTGATGCAGAAAGCTAGATAGCTAGAGAAAGGAAACTTATCAATACTTTCAAGCTGTTATCGAGAATGCTCTCTTGACCGAGATGAGGAAGGGTGATAGTTAAGCTTCAAGGTTTCAATTGTGCAAAAACAAAGAACACACCCTCCTTAACTCCATGAAATCGCAACAAACAGCAGTTTTGGTATGTCTGGCATTTTTGATACAGATCCCTCTCGGGTAGCCCACCAGATTTCCCAAGAGTGAAAAAAAGAAAAGAAAGAACCCCATTTGCCCTTTTTATTTTTTTGATGCATCGGAGGCCTGATTTTTTGATTGTTTCATTCCACACATACAAAAATGCACATGCCTCCCGAACTAAAGAAAACCTGATCCATTTTTCCCGTAAAACCACCGTCTACCACTGCATCAAATGAGGCCTGTCGCCCTTGGAGAGGGCAAAGTTGGAGGCGAGGTATGAGGAAAGCTGAGGAGTCTGCTTGATAGTCTTGATCAAGGCAGCGTCGACGGCCTTCTGGTCCTCCTTGCGGGCCTCAGGAGTGCTCTTTCCCTATTCGTAGAAACCCCCATATCAATATCATCGTTCCAGCCTAATTTTCCCTGGCACCAAACTGAAAGTACGAACCTTGACCTTCTTTCCACCCTCGTAGAACTTCTCCTCGTTGGACTTCTTTGACTCCTTCTCGCGAGCAAAGTACTTCTCGTCAAACTTGTCTGTGTCAACACCGGCAAGGTCGACCTTAGTTGAGGTAGCGATGACGAATCTGGCGTTGACGCGGCGGAGAGGAACACCGTTGATCCTGAAGGGTCCAGTAACGAGAAGAACACCGTTTCCGAGGTTCTTGAGGTAGACGACACGCTTTCCACGGAATCGACCAGCGAGAACGATGAGGATCGCGCCGGGCTGGAGGGAGGGACGGAGAGTGGTGGGTCTGGGAGTTTTGCGGACCTGAAGAAGGTCAGTATATGATTCCTGAATTGAACCAGCTTCAAGACCAAAAAGAGCTCTAGGAAGCAATAATCAACAGAGCTTCCGCCGCTGAATATTGTCCTTCATAGCTTCTTCTTCTTCGTGCTCCTCCGTAGTCTATATCTCGAACCTATCATCTAAAACCGTACCTTCTTTGGCAGTGACTGGTCCTCGGCCGGGTACCACTTGCTCGCCTTTTGGGTGGGGACCTCCCTTGTCCCGGAACCGAAGGGCACAGACTTAGTCGACATTGCGGTATTAATTGACGGGTGGTATTTTGTGTTGTCGGGAATTATCGTGGGTCGTCGTTGGGTGTTGTTGTTGCTGCGTCGATTAGTTCATACAATATTTTCGGACTGGGCGAAAATGTTGAGTGTGTGTGGGCTAGGATTTAGGGCTTCTGTGACGGCTTGTGGTTGTGAGATCTAAGATAATCTGACGATAAGATAAGATAAGATTTGTATTCCTTACATTAACGTGCAGGTGTCTTCCATAAAAGGAAAGGCAACGTTATCTACTAATCAGGAAACGTATCACACAGCAACCACAAAATACTAGACTGGATACGAGGTCATCACAGATGTACATACTCTACATGTATCTACCATACTGCAAGTAGAAGTGAACAAAGGATCTACGACAAGTCATATGTAGAAAGAAAATTAGACTTTTTCCTGGCTGCGTGTACTAGTGTCAGGGCGTCAGGGAGCGGCTTTATTAGGGCGAATGTCAGAGTTAAAGTTTGTGTACGCCTTTATTCAAGGGGTTTGGTACTGGGGTATGCTTAAAAGTACATATACATGTACTTACTACATGTAGTACCTACATGTCTTCTATTTCGGGATGCTGACAATCTTTAATATTAACCTTTGTGAGCTATCCGTGCACCCTGAAACTAAAAACCCGCTACTTATTGTTTAATTCATAATGACTACATGTACAGGTACATACATAGGAAGAATTAATGTTTCCCCAAAGTACATATACATGTATGCAGGTGCACTGATTAAATAGGGTGTAACGCTAACGAGTTTTAACTCTTCTGTTGCTCATGATAACCGTGATCGATTTTTACAGGCTATGTTGAGTGGACCGGCCCGGCCGCCCAAAGACCACGATAATACAAGAAAAAATAAGGATTTTACATACTACAAGTAGTCAACTGGTGGGCACGACGCCTTGTCAATGATGGGTCAGATCCGCAGATTTTACGTTCGAAAGTTGTCCTCTAAGAAACTCTTACCAATGGACAGTACTCATCGTTTGTTTCACAATGTTTGTTCGTAAATTTTAATGTGTTTCGCGTAGGGCATTGATAATACCAATACAAATTATACATGAATCTTGAAAACAATTGAATAGGTCTAATCTTCTACTGGATACTTTCTAAGTTTACCATATAACTACATGCGTAAATACCGTCAACATTAGTACTCCATTCTATATAATTACAAGCTTCACTAGACTTAAATAGTGCTATAGTCATCCCCTCATTCTTATTGTCATCGGTAGCTAGATCTAGACCTCTCCACCCTGCGCTTCAACACAGAATAAAAACCAAGAAGACTCTCGATCTCCCCGCCAATAAAAATTAACCGATCACTCAAGAACTACACCACTGAAAGCTAATCTCAACGAACTCAAAACTCAAACTCGAAATGTTGCCTGGATGCATCATCTCCTTTTTTCTGTTCACCGCAGTTTATGCTGCCCCGTCATTCTTCACCAGGGATGAAACCAAAGCGTATGAATATCCTTTTGAATATCATACTCCTCCGACACATAACAATATGTGCAGTTAAACTTACGGAATCTATTATTTTTAGATATGTTGCGAGATTCTCTGGCGTGGTCGAGGGCAGCGTCAAGTTCACATCTACTGGAGGAGGTGCCGGTGTATCTATCGATTACAAACTTTTTGTACCGAACAACTTGCTTGGCCCTTTCTCATATCATATTCACGAAAATCCCGTCCCGGCGGACGGAAACTGTGCTGGAACTGGTGGGCATTTTGATCCATTCAAGGTAAGCATTATATTACACTACCATATATCATCGTGTGCACCCCAGTATCACAATAGCTAACAAAAATCTAGCCTAACTCGCCACGTACGGGTTGCGATAGATCAAAGTCTTGGACGTGTGAGATTGGTGATCTGTCTGGGAAACTCTACCCGTTCCCGCAAAGCACAACTGATTCACGTGAGTTTATCCTACGTCTTCTAACCTTACAAATTTACTTATTAAAACGAAACTAATTGCGCTATAATTTTAGCATCTCTTACTGCGACTTTACGTGACCCTTGGATATCTGTGATTCCAGGAAATGCTGCCTTCATTGGTGGTCGTTCCATCGTGGTTCATAACATCAATAAGGATCGTATTGGTTGTGCAACTCTAGTACCTTTGTAATGAATTTCTTTGGTGGATATTTCATTTTATTTGTCTAAGGTTGATTGAGCGAGTTAACTAAGGGGTTTGCATTATATATCTTACTTTTCTGGTCAATCATTTCAACTTTCAGTTCTATTCCAGCTAGCAAGTTCGGTGTGTCGTAGTGAGGACGGAGATTTAGTTAAGGACAGGCCGTGGCTATTCGTGCGTCTAACGGTTGATTTTGTTTTCTGCGGTTTCCACATATATTTACAGATTCTGGTAGAATTAATGCGAAAGTGGGTTTTCCGTGACCCGATAGTCCCATTGGCCCTCAAAGGAATTTTTGCAGTGAGCACGGGCCAAGAAACCCACCCTTTTAGTTCTGACTTTCGCAATAATTCTACCGGATACTGTACATGCGCATATGCATTTTTATAGATTATCAAATATTAAATAACTAATTTAAAAGCGGCATACAAAAGTAACGAGCTGAATAGACAGCGCGCTTTGTTGTTGTCCGAATGGTACTCAACTGACAAACCTTTTCAGCTACCAAGAATTCGAACTCTTCCTTCTACCCTTTACCGGATGTGTTCAACTACATGCGGGACAGGGACTGCTAAAGATCCCTTCAAAACTAAATTCTATGCAGGAGAGTGCGGGTAAGGACCTTCTACTTTGGAGGTACGTAGGCACAACACAACAGCCATTTACCTCGCCCTGCGGTTGTCGGGATCGTATGGTGGGTTGGGCAATCGAGGGTATATGATTATATATGATGCCGGCCGTAGGCTCCGATGCTCCTCTGTGTAGTACTCTCAAGTACATGTATCCTTGGGTGCTCCCATCCCAAGAAAGTTATGCATAATTTCCTCATTGAAGACCAAGACAATTATGCAGAATTATGAGTTCAGGGAATCGATGGCTTTAGTTTATATATTTGAGAAAATACGATTTCCGATCTCCACTATAACTAACGTAAGAATGTATTGATTTTTCATTTTCATTTTTCATTTTTTTCTGGATTTACCTGTCATGGTGCAGGATACAACATCTCACGCTAATTTAACCAACCTCTAGATATAAATATCCCTATATGTACAGTACCAAAAAACGGGTGGGGGTTAGTACGGTAGTACTACGCCATCCCATAAAATCGGGTAGCACTCCGGTTGTCGAGCGAGTAGAGCCGCCTTTCAGCAAATGCTCTATCAATGCCGTATCAATACTGTATTATATAATCTATATATTCCCTGGATTTCGCAGTGTGGGTGGTATATTTATACTGCCCTAGTACTTCCTCATTTCCTAAAATATGGCATTCTTGTGGTATTTAGGACAATGCCATTCCCCTAACCCTGGAATATCATATTTGGTGATGAAGCATTTCAGAATCAAAGATCACCAGATATTGTTTCATCCACCGATCCATCAATTCTTATCATCCTAGGATGGGGTTTAAACAATTGGGATATACTTTTGAAAAATAAATTTTGGGCTCTTAGGCATACATATACACATCATTTTAATTAGAAGTTGCGTCTACTATTCGATTATGATACGCTCATGTTGGTGATGATGATGATGATGATGATGGTGATGATGATGATGATGAAGTCGTATAGGTGTGGTCTAGTCTTGTAACATAGTGTCGACAAGCCTACATGTAGGTGTGGTCCTGGTCATGGACCTGGCGTACTGGCACGCTAGACCTGGTGCTGGCACACTGGACCTGGTGCTGGTCACAACGCTAAAATGTGTCTATATTGCTGTGGTAGTGCTACGGTATTGCTATGGTATTGCTACGGCATTCTATGAAAAATATACTCCTTGAAATGCCGAAATGATGCAGCAGTCCCGAAAATACCGCATTATAGCAAGACTACCGTAGCACTACCATACTAATCCCTGCCCCATTTTTGGTATTGTAGTTAACAAACCGGTATGTTTTTTGTTATTAATCATATGTGGGTTAGGGAGCGGGCGACTGCATACAATACAACAATAATAGGGAGTGTGCGACACAATATATCACTCGACCCCCGGGGGGTTGGGGGGGGGGGGAAGAAAAGAAGAAAAAAGCAAGCAATCAAGTAATTCCTTCAGGGGTTGCTAAAACTACTACATTATATATGTATGTATATTTTGGTAATCTTGTGACATGCATATGCAGTCGTGGTATGCTTTGGGGGTTATCTCCTGTTGTTGGAATCGAGGCTGGTCTACTACATTTTGCATGAAAAACACCGTACAGAATATCATGACCTAAGCTTCTACTGTAATAGGATATGCCATGGCTACAGTCAATATTTTTTATTCCTTGTAAGATGTTACTCGAATCCCATATATTCCATACATGTATATATCCCATCGTCCAAAACAAATGCCCGTGTAAGAAAGTAACGCCTAACCCTAAAAGCGAAGAAGGTACCCCTAAAATACATGTAGTTAAGACAAAAACCCTTGTTATAAAAACCTAAACTGTATAAATGAGCGCTTAAAAAGCCGGGGAATTCAATAATACCAGCAGCCGCAAGTGTAGAATCGTAGTACTATAGTGTAAAGCTACATGGAGGTAGCTCGAAGATTGACCGAGACTTGACTAGACACTTCAGGTGATTCTGATTTGAAGCGCTTCGAAGAAGATGAGGTGGTAGTTTGGGAGAGCGAAAATGGTGGCTTCCCCTTTGTAGGTTTATGGGACGAGGCTGGAGGCTCAGGCGTTGCTTCATAAGGGATTATGTCTTCTGGTAATCCACTAACGTCGATATCCCCCTCGAAGACCTTCATCTTTACCGAAACTTCAGCCGAATCGTATAACGATAGTTTTTCGAGAGACGCTAACATCCCCTCTGCAGCCCAGAGATTTTCAGAAACACCATCAATCCTGAAGATGCCGGTTTTGTTAGCTTGAATGACCGAAATCCCTTTCTGATGGGTGATTACTTTGAAGCTGCGCCTTCCTTGATTCTATTGAATCGACCATTACTTATTCCTTGTAATTTGAGCCAAGCAAATCGCAAGCCATCACGTACAAAACTCATAGCGTGAAATCCAGTCTCTTCAAACCGATCTTTTAGTACTGTCGATAGCCATTCTTGGTGACTCCGCTGCCGAAGTTCCATCCCCACAACAAACACCGGTACGACTCTGGAAATCATATATGTTAGATTATACAATATATGAGTTTTGATCTTAAGAAATGCTTACATAGACGCATCAGTAGAATTTGGCAAAAATGCAAATATCCTAAGGGCAGCATGACAAAGAGACCCGATATGTGGTGGGACAACAGGCATTTCTGGATACCGTATGCGGAAAAGTTGAACACGAACACCGATTGCCCAGCCAAGCACCAGTCCAACACAGATATGTGGGTATCTTCTGGGGGTAATTGAAGCAATATCCGTGTCGTTTATGTCTTCCTCTTCCCCATTTTCACCGGTTGCTGGATCATCATCAAGCGCCTTGAACCAATAGGGGACCTCCGCATACCAAGCATCTAGTTCCTGATCCAACTTGGATACTCGAGACTCAATGATATCTTGCAGGCGTGATTTCTGCTCACTGGAGATATTTCCACCGTATTTCATCCAAAGGTCTCTTCTTCGCTTTAGTGCCCAGGCCTTGAGATATGTGAGTCTGCAGCAAATCACACAAAGCTTGGATAATGCTGCATCTGCTGCGAGAAGTATTGGCGAGTCATGGGTAATGGGTACACGCGTAAACGGGTCTACGGTCCACCAATCACTTGTCATAAAAGTCGGGTTTCCAGAAACGCTTGAGGTTGCAATATCCGCTCTTTTAAAAGCTGCATAGAGAGCTCTGCCAACTGGGGTCATATGTGCTGCTTTGCCTAGCAAAAGGTGAATAGGGTACTTGATCGTAATGATTGGAATGAAAAAGTACCTCTAGCAACTATAATGTCCCTACCTCCCAACATGTGGACGCCCATTTTTACGTTTTCTCCGTTCCATATCTTGTCCAAAGATGTTAGCAAGTTTGAATATCTTGAAAAAATATGGGGATATCTGCATTCTGCGGGAATATTACTTCGTAATGACTTAGAATGATACTCGTTGCCAATAACGAATCTGTGTCTTTATTCCGAAAATCAGGATCCGATACAGCCCTGAAATGTTGCTTGAGAGATTTCTGATAATGTGATGCAGCATCCACGGTTATCATTCGTAAATCCTTCTTCATTAATCCAGTTTGCAAGGCTGCTAAGGCCAAAATCCCTTCCATCAAGGCTGGAGAATCATGAGCCATAGCTGGTATATACTTCCGGAATAGGTCAATATAAGAGGGTGAAGTATCTGCTAGTCTTTTCGCCGAGAGCTTCATGTAAATGGCCAAGAGCTCTTGATTCGTAGGGTTATCTAAAGTTGGTGGTCGCGGAGGGGCTAAGGTCATGGTTGTTGGGTTCCAGCTAACTCGAAATGAGCAATTGTACTAAGTAAACTGGAGAAACAATAAATCTTACCCTGACATTGGTAATGATATTTCATCCATTAATTTTGGCGAAAACCTCGTTACGAACTCTGGCAGGGAATTTATAATTGCTTGGTCCCGGAACATGGGCCCTTTACCAAATATTGGCGATGAGATTGTTGTATTTGAGTCAAAACTGATTATGCTTTCTGGGGGCGAGCTCGCTCCTTCGCTTGAATCCGAACTATCATCGCTCGTTTGATTTACGATGCACCCTCCTAGCCTCGAGGGGGTTTCTGGGATATCACTGATCATGAGTTGAATACCCTCAGAGCTTATCTGCATGGACATTAGAAAACGAATAGTACTCAAAGCCCAATATTCTACTCACAGAAGCCTTGCGCTTTCTATTTATCCCCATATATGCATCATTCCTTCTTAGCATCTCATCGACGAATAGTTGAACGTCCCCTGTATAAAGGCGCGGTAAGTTGAAGTGTCGCAAAGACAATTGAGTACAAAAGTATCAACCACGCCTTTCCTCCGCATTCTTGCTTCTCCTAATAGGGAATTATACCATTCTGGATTTCTGAATCCTGCAGCTGTCTGGGTACTACCCATTTATCATTCTCCCAAAGAAGGACCGCGTCCTCCTCCTCCTCCTCCCCAGCTTCTTGCCGCAGTTGTTGTTTACTTTCCCTCTCAATTTCCTTCCTCCTAGGCGACGGCACTGTAGTATTCTTTGAATTATGTAGGCTTCGCATCTTGGAATTTGCGTATTTCCTTCTATCGAAAAGTTGGCAAAGAGTTGGCAGCAAATCGCATTGTTGCCTGCTCCAGAGAAATTAAAGGGATGAAGGATAGATCAGCCTTTCCACTGTTCCAGTTTCTTAATAATACTGGGATTGCGCAGCGTGCAATACCCTCTGTGTTGGATCCGGACCCGGCTTCTACTATGAGATGCCTAAGGAGTATGATTACAGTGACTGTCCACGAGGATCCTTTACTTATATAGCTAGGTTGAGAAAGAAGACTGACTGCGGGTAGATAGGTGAGAGCATCGGCTACACACAAGATTCCCTGCGATAATCGAAGGAGGCGCACGGTTTACCGATAAAAAAACGGTTTGGGAAGTTTCTTTACTTTTTCTGTCTATTGCTCTAGTTGACCCCTGCTTCGGTACCTTGCTGTTGGGTAGATAAGTATCCAGCTAGATGGAGGGGGAATAGTTGAGGGAGAATATAAGACGAAAGCTGCTCGGCTCCACAGATTTCTCTTGAGCTTAAGGCTGTATCGTTATGGAAGAATCCAAAACCGTTATGGTATTGGATTAAGGTGATGTGGGGCTTATGGATCCTGCAGGTATTTTAAGGCTGCAACGCCTTTCCTGGTGTGCTGACGCTTGGTGGCTGAGAAGGACGAATATTTGATTTCAAGTGGACTTAAGCTGAAATTGAAGTTAGGGAGATGCACATCATGCAAGAAGAGTTTAGGTGAGTGGAGTAGAGCAAATAGTATGCTAATATCGAGGAAGGGGCTATGATACTCAAGATCTAGATACGCTGTAGCGAAAACGATCAATAGACGCCGGATGCGGATCACAAGGTTTGACTTCATTCCTTCTTCCACCACTGAGATGTTTAAGCTTTGGCCACATGAGAATCGTGTGTAGGGAGAGACCTTGCAGATTCAGCCTGGCAGGGCAACAGTGGCTTTCTGCACACATCGTACGTGCGTCCATATCAGCTACCATTAATGCTACACAGGTACCTACATGTAGAGTACTCGACTGAATTCTAGAGTAGAGTACGTATACATGTATATGAATCTACCGAATTGCGTACGAAGATTGAAAAGAGCCGATAGGGTAAGAACTCGTGTCACATTAGGTACATACAAATATCTCAATCATACTACATGTAAGTACCTATTCCGTTCCAAAAATTACATACATACAGCACATTAACAGTGATCATGAAATTAGATACATATAATACCACTGTATGTATTGTATCTACAAGAGGAGAATTTGAATGCGCAGAAGAGACTAGGTTCAAGAAACCCAGCCAAATAACCAGCCCATCTACAATACCGGTAGTAGCAAGCCGAGTACACTAGGTTAGGCTATGAAGAAAATCTCCACAGCCAATCAAAGCTAACTTCAGGCTCTTCTCGCTAAAGCGAATTCTAGGATTCTAACTTCCAAGCGTCTGAAGTAGGATATGAACAAAAGAGGAAAAAAGGTGGCTGAATTCAGCCAATGCAAGACCGTTGATGCCGCCCAATTACCCGTTTTAAATAAGATGGGATTTTTGGTGGTCGTGGTTGCTACAAAGCTGGCTAGCGGCTACTTTGTGGACCAACCACGTGGAAAACATGTGCCTGTAGTGACTTGTGAAAGGAAGGAAAAAGACGTTACACACCCGCGCTTTCCGATTGCGCTGCATGTCTTTGAAAGAGGAAAGTTCAGCTGTTACGGTGCTCTCGCCGTAGGGCCCATCCTTTTATGGCCATAATACCAGTTACCCAGCACATTATAAGTGCTGCGATACCAATGATGACCGTTAGGATGAACATTGGGTCTGCAGAAACTCTGTCGAGGTAGCTGGCGGTGTCCTTATTCTGATCGATCCGGGATGTCAGTTACAAAAAAAGGAAAGAGGAGAAGATTTCTTAATTACTTACACTAGCCATGAAAACTAGACCTCCGGCCATCAGACAGAAGGACCCTACGATCTCTGTGGGCGGCCTGGATGGAAGATACGATATTGGAGGTGAGAGATAAAGTAAGGCATATGTCAAAAGCCTAAAGACCGAGAACCCGGATAAAAGTGTTCCCCACTGGATTTGGATTAGCTAAAGATCCATTACATCCATCTATTAAACTTGGGGTTCGTACCTGAGTGTGTAAAGTGGTCGATAAAGGCAATGCCTGATGGTGTTTGCTCATCATCACCCCCAAAATGAAGAATACCAAAGCCGGAATCGGATTATACGACATGCCATAGTTCTTAGGGACTTGATGTCCAGGAGTTGAAATAGCAGGAGAGTTTGATGGAGTTGTCACTCGTGTGACTGTTGAGTAATTGAGCAAGTCCCGAATCTTTTTGGACTCGAAAAGCATTCCCGACTTCACGGCTACAGTCAGTATTCACAAAACTCGAAGGTTTTATTTTCTACTCGATTACTTACCAGACCACCCCCGATAAACATGAAAGCTATCGATACATGCTCCAGATCGCCATGAGACCAAGCACCGCCCGCACCGGCGAGCCGTTCAAGGAATATATTGGAACAACCATACACAAATATTGTCGTCGATTCAATCATTTCAGCCGATGGAACGTATTTTCTAGCCCAGCCTCCGCCAAATTCGCGAAGAGGAGGCTTGACATTCCACGCCTATGTTTTATTCGACGTTAGAGAAAAGGTTCTTTCTGGTTTTTCTTTCTGGTTTGGGGAAGGAGTCAGTACCCAACCGAGCTCACTAAATGCCCCGAGCCACCTTCCTAGGGTGATGATACCGTAGAGGAAGAAGATACTGCCTTTGATGAAGTGTGCGAGGCCGTTGAAGACTCTGTTCCCCATCTAGATTGAGATAATTTATCAGTAAACCCGATAATAGGCATATGGAGCTCAATTTACAAAATCCTATTACTTACGAATATGCCGCTTCCTGTTACGATACCTAAACATATCTGCACATACCCCAGAATCACAAGGAATCTCTCTATACAATCATAGCAAAACCCACAAACTCGCACAACACGCTCATTAAAGACAAACGGCATACGGCGAGAAAGGAATGATTCGATACGTCCTGTAGTCTTGGCGAAATAACCAACCCTTTCGACCTGTGTTGGGACTATATAAGGCTCATCACCATCAAAGTCTTGAAGCTGATTATCGCGATCACCGTAAACTGACGCTCTCGATGGATAATAATCCTCTGTTCCCTGGCCGCTATCCCCAGATGGCCTGCACTCTGGGTCATCTTCTCTAATTGGTGTGAAGCCTTCCTTACTTCGCATGAGATGCCGATTCTCTGGAAGCACAGTTCTGACGATCGCTCCCAAAACTCCGAGAACTGATTGGACTAATAGTATACAGACAATTGCCCACTCGAGTTTACGGTAGGAGTTGTTTGGATAAAGATCGGGGACAGCTTTGTCATATATGAACCCGAGAAATATACTGACGCCGTGTGTTGCGAGGAATAAAAGCTTTGCGGGGAGATGATATCGCGAATTTGATATCGACAGTACACATGCTAGTGGGGGAATTTAGCCAAAGAAATACTTATGAGTGGTTTGGGTTAGTGAGTACTTACACATTGGCATAAAAATTATCCAGCCTGCACACATCGTCAAGATGTGAGCATACATCAACCCTCTATATTTCGGATATGAGAAATAATAGGTCCCCCCATCATTCACAATCGTAGCTGTGTGCGCCTCGTGGTTATGTTCATGTTCGTGGTTATGTTGGTCATACCCGTCTGCGTAAACTGCAGTGCTCAGGAAAAGCAGCAGAGTCAGGCATATAAGCCTACCTGTAAGCTTTTTTTGAGTAGACATTCTGGAGGAAGTTGCGATATTGAACTCTGAAAAATAAAAGTTACAAAGAGAAGGTCGGGCGCCCCATAACTTTATTTACTTGTTACTTTTCCCTACCGGAGACGAGGGACCCATCAAATGGCACGATGCTTTGCCCTAGAAGGCATCTAAACACGAAGTGGAGCTCGATCTTTCAATTAATGACGTATCGAAAATGCTGCATGAGTACATGATACAGACATATACAGAGATAACTCCGCACACCGTACAGCGCCGGTAGCACGTTTCGGAATACGAACTCCGCCATACGTGATGCCAAGACCTTGTTTAATACGGGTGACTCCACTCCGAGGTAAGCATTCAACAGCAACCCACGGCCGCGGTATTGATCTACTAATTCTACTACAGGGTAAAAAAAATTTTTTTAAAAAAAAAGGGAATTTGATCACGATAAAAATTAGCCATGGGACTGCAGAACCCTTGAAGATTGGTTGCACGGCATAAGGCAATTCGGAATTCCGAAAGATCCGAATTTCCGTCTTGGGCTTCGTTTCTCCTCCTCCCATGCTACCTGTTTAAACAACAAGGTACCAATTGGGGAGGGATATGCAGCATTGGTTTTTTGAAATCCGATTTCAATTATAATCTTCGATAATCGATAGCATCATACCCACCCAGATAAGGAACCCTAAATCAACAACAGTTCGTTTAAGAAGTTAGGACCGGGGAGAAAAGACCATTAAAACCGTTTTGATATAGGCTCAGGTTCGGTGACATTCGCTACCATTCGACTGGACTGTGTTTTGTAATCCGCAACGCAAGTTAGAAGAGTCATATGCCCTTCATACGACCGTCACCCCACCCGTGCTCTGCGGGGCCGAGTTAAAGTACTCTAGGTAGAATATACGTGGTCATGAGGCATTCAAAGCCTGTCCTGCGTTTGTTCCTCTTTTTATGTCTTTAACAATGATTCTTAATGTTGTCCAAAAATAAATTCATTCTTAAAAATCGCTTTCTCTCTTCTTAGTATCAATATGCTCCCATGTGAAGGTTTTACTCTCAAAAGACGAGTAGCAAAGGAACTCATTACTAAGTCCTTTCATATGACGGACTTCATAGGTGGTCGTTCGGATTCCAGCATGCTTATAGAGCTTCTCCACTAGTCCCTGCATTCGCTCTCCCGTGCAAACAATTAGGCGATTACTGGGAGTCCAGGGTTTCATCATCCATCGGACAGTGAGAGCCGCTAGTGATAGGTAACATTTGTCAGTGATAAATCATATGCAAGAACGGAAGTGATGATAATTTGTGATAAAACTAGGAGTAAGAAAGATGCTTTACATTTGGTCTGGCAGTCATTACTAAGAAAAGGTGGGTCGAGGATGATGCGATCAAACTTGCCCTTCAGTGACTCGGGAAGTCGGAGGGGGTATTTGAAATCGTAGTGCACAAACTCGTCGAATAGGTCGAATCGGTCGTCAAATTCGAGGAGGTGGACTTGGATGCCCTTTGACACTTTTCCGGCGTTCTAATGACGCAGCTCCCCATCAGTAACATGCCCTATGTACAGCGATGGAGTTTGTATATATACCTTCATTTCCTGTATCTTCACAAACACGCTAGGAGCCGAGACAATCCCGATCACGGTCTCATCCGTCGCACCGTCCAGTAGCTCCTCCGCAAACTGTTGCGCTGTAGTGTGATCGTACCAGAACTACACCGCACCGTACGTAGGTAAGCTTCACCGCACATTCACCACCCAGAACCGTGCCGTAGGCATAAAAAAATAGAAAGCGCCCACCAACCTGAGAGTGCTGCCAATCCTCTTCGAAGTCACTTATGGTGACGATCTTCCTTCTCTCGACATCCTCGTCCTCCGCCTTTTTCTTCAACGCCTCAAAACGACTCTGGCGCTCATCCTTCTCGCTGAGGAACGCACGAAGAGCTTCCTGCGCCTCGGGTGAGAGCCTTTATTTGTGCATGAGGGTTAGCTTGTCTGTGATGGGGGGATAGGTGTTTAGGGGAGAGAAGAGTTCAGACTGGATTTCTTCGTCGTCGATTAGGGCCATTTTTTTTATGGATTTTTTTTTGTTTTCAGGTAGTACTGAGCCTGAGGGTGGTAGTGGGGTTGTCTGCAGGAGGGGAAAACCGATGTCTGGCCGTAGGAGTGAGCATGTTGCTTATTTTCATGGATTGAGGGAAGCGAACCTGGGTCCTTGGGAAGTTTTGGGTTTGTTTCGACACGTTTATGAGTACCGACTATCTACAGCTACGTTTGTTTGGTAGGTGTTTCATGAGAACTTGTGGGATCTTAGCAACGCGATTGGGAGCTTAGGGTTAGGGCACTTCATCCGATCTTTTCCCAAACATTGGATAGAGGGCAGACGATGGCTGTAAAAGAAACGCCGGTGCCCTATCTGGATGTGCGCATTTGCGCAAAGGTTTCTAGGATGACTCCGTCCCTTGCAGGTTTGGCTTTCACAATCATAAGCTATCGTTGACAAGGATGAACAAGGGGAGTCATCTAAAGCAAAATTTATTTAAAACTAAAAAAAAAGATGAGAAAAAAAAGAAGAAAAACTAATATTGTTGAATTATTCGGAGGGTTCTCTTGCTCCCACCCCACAGCCTCCGAAGAAACCATAAAGAAGTGGGAGCCTTCTATCTCCGCCTCACCTCCCTCTCATGAACATCGAAATGCCCACAAAAGAAGAGACAAATCTTGATCTCCCAACGCTCCGTTAAGGCCCACACCATAATTATACAGCGGGTCCCTGCAGTCTCCCGAAGAGTCTGCATCGCTGGTGTTCTATGTAGTACAAAGGGGTCACACTGCCGGATATCACATTAGAGATTGGATCACGCAGATCTTGCTTGTGAACGATGAATTATATTGATTGATGCTATTTTGTTCCATGAAATTTTGTGGTGCTCTAGATCTGAGGATCGTGAATAAACGTTAGTCGACGCTCTCAAGTTTAGGTAAGAATGATGGGCGCAAGGTATGGTGAGGGAGGAAAGATCAGAGAGGCTCGCATGCTAAATTTTGTAACCATGTGTTTGTCTTAAAGACTAATCGAATTTTTTTAATGTCTCATCATCTCGATGTTGGTGGGGTATTAGGGCAGAAGGAAAGCAGGGCACCTAATGAAACACAATATATGATGCGGGGGTGTTACTGACCTTTTGAAAAGTGCTGTTAAAGAATTGCGACGATGATTGTTAGCCAATTGCCTGTCTCTTCCTAGGTGGGGTTTATGGTTCCTTATTTGTTGACGTTGACGTTGAAGTTGATCATGGAGAAAAAAAACTTCCTTCTCTCTATTTAAACCACGCTTTCCCGGGTAACCTATCCTTTGCCGTTGCTTTGCTACATAGCACCTGCTGTGTCTACAATAATTACCCTACCTACGCGTCCCACAACCTTTCCTACGCCCTACAAACACTAAGAACTGTCTCCAACAGCACACGGCAATAGACAATTACATCATGGGCATAATCGACGAACAGCGCAGTCTCTGCGAAGATCTTGAGCGCCTTGAGCAAGCATGCGCCGACCGCAGTCTCGAGGAACCGAAAACTGTATGTTGTCCTTTCCCGCCGCCGCCGCCGCCGCCGTAGCCACAGTTACTAATTTTTGGATTGAATTGCAGGTCAGAGAGCGATTGTTGCGTGATCATCAGATCGCAAAATTTGTGGACCGCTTCCAGCAGCAGAGTTCTAGACTGTTGGATATCCAAGCCGACGCTGACGGGTTTGTTATATCCCCCGCCGAGAGAAAGAGAGCATGTTAACTAACTCTAGGCAACAGTGTACGACAAAAAGAAATAGACTCCCTCTCCGCCAAAGACCCCTTCGATGAATTCTACAAACAGCTCTCGCAAATCAAAGACTTCCATCGACGCTACCCCAATGAGCCCGTCGAGAACCTCGAGCGTGCCTACAAGCGCCGTCCCGCCGTCGCCGACGGCGAGTTCGTCTCGGCAAGCGAAATCGATACCATGTTTACCGGCGAGGAGAGCAACGGGCGATTCTTTGACCTGACACGCAGCCACGAGGAGTACCTCAACCTGCCGGGAGTCAAGAAGCGCACGACGTATCTGCAGTACCTCGGGCTATTTGACAAATTTGACCGCTTTGTCAGGGCACAGAAGATGAACGATCGGTACTTTTCGCATGTCAATGGGCTGGCAGGATATTTGGAGAGCTTTTTAGCAAGGACGAAGCCGCTCCAAAACCCGGAGGGGATTGTCAAAAACATTGAGGAGGAGTTTGAGACGGCCTGGAAAGAGGACAACGTTCCTGGATGGGGAAAGCTTGCGCCTGTTGAGGGGTCCGCAGAGGTTGTCGGGCCCCAGAAGGAAGAGGCCAAAAAAGAAGAGTTCTGGTGTGCGCCTTGTGGGAAGGGCTTCGGGAACAAAAACGTTTACGACCACCATTTTGACTCGAAGAAACACAAGAAGGCAGTTGCAAGGCAACAGGAATCTGGTACCAGAGTGGAGCTAGAAGTCCGAGGCCCAGGCGGCCAGGAGAGTCTTGCGAGGTTGAAGGATAAGGCGATAGCAGAGAGAGAGTGGAGGGTTAGGGCGCTCACTGAGCTGATGAAGACGGAAAGAGAGGGTACAATGACAAATGTGGAGCGAAAACAATCGCTTACTGAGAGAGAACGACGGGTACGAGCTATTCCTTTCTCATTATCCCGCGATTACTCCTAACCGTTCATCACAGATGGAGCTTGAAGCACATTACCAAGAGAACTCGGCGGATCCAAATGCTGAGGCCGGAGATGCCTCAGATGAGGATGACGATGATGAGAAGATCTATAATCCTCTCAAGCTACCTCTAGCCTGGGACGGTAAACCAATCCCGTACTGGCTATATAAGTTGCACGGTCTGGGTGTCGAATTTCCTTGCGAGATTTGCGGAAACTTTGTATACATGGGCCGACGGGCGTTCGACAAGCACTTTAACGAGCACCGACATACATATGGACTGCGATGTTTGGGAATCACGAACACAACGTTGTTCCGTGAAATCACCAAAATCGACGAGGCTCAAAGACTATGGGAAAAATTAGAAGGTGATAAAAAGAAGAAGAAACAGGCGAACGAAACGGTGGAGGAGATGGAGGATGGGCAAGGAAATGTTATGCCTAGAAAGGTTTACGAGGATTTACAAAAGCAGGGCTTACTTTAGTCCATGGAAGGGTGGGGGAGTTTATTGATGCTATTTTTTTCTTCCCGTTTTTATTCCTGTTTTGATGCTTCCTCAGTCTAGTTTCTTTCTTTTATGCATGTATCTATAATAGAGGCCGTAATTCAAACGAGTGATTCCCGATGATCCATTCAGCGCACCACCGTGATCAACAGCACGTCCTCCGTGCACCTACCAATGATAATTCGCCGGCCTATCATGGAAGGGGGAATATGGTAAATCTGCCATTGGTCGAGAGGTGAAGCTGTGTCATTTTTATGTACTCAAGCAGCAGCGGCGGGGAATTCTTATCTCGCATGATCTCGGAGAGCGATGGCATTTTGCCGCTTGGTGCAGCGGACATCATCTTTAGTTAACTAACCTTGCAAGTTGTTTCCCCCTCTTCTTTCTTCTCCCCTTTCCTCTCACTGAGGCCTGGGATTGCTAGGATAGGATCCATCCAACTCACATGTACGGTATGTAGGTACTCTACCGTGTTTGGATAAGTCTCCAGTGTCATGTAGGTCGGTCCAACCCGATTGGTCTGCTGCGCCCTAACCCTTACCTCCCTTCGCCTTCTTCCATCATTTCAGCCTCATGGACGCTAATAACTTGTCTGAAACACTCGAACTGCGCGCGTCCTGCACGTAACTTACTTCATCCTTCAACCTCCACACTCTCTAACACCTCCCACACACCCCCCCCTCACTCACTCACTCCCTTTCCCTCCCCCCCTCCTCCCTTCTTCCCCTCCCCCTCCCTTCCCCTAGAAAGACCTTCTATCCTTCCATTCCAAGGTTCTCTTCCCTTCCAGTAGCTGTGGTGCATAAATAGAAATATCGTGTCAATCATGAGCCCTACACTAGTTATCAAGCGGCCTCCCGCTACTACCACCACTTCCCCAAAAGCTGTTAAAAACAACAAGCCAGCTGCAGTAGTCGCCGCGACGTCCTATGGCTGTGGTCCGAGCTCCTTCCTCCCTTCCTCCCCTCCTCCCCCACTACACACATTTTTAACGCGTGCGTACGGAAAAAACAAACAGACCATATCAAGAGCCTTCTACAAAGCGGACAAGGAACAAAAGCTTACTACTCGGGCGCTACCCGCGTCGCTTTCGACTCCGTCAGAACTACGGCGCAGACATGTGTGAAGTGCGAGTGCAAGTTTTTGGTCACGAGGACCTTCCTGTGTATGCAATGCCCGAAGACTCACTGCCCGCAGGACGCGAAGGAGCACTCGAAGGATATGAGGCACGTACTTGGTGAGTGGTATTGTTTCCGCGCCGGCGCCTGGGGCGGCGCGCTACTGGTACTGATTGTGGATTTTGATGTACAGGTATTGATTCGAGAAGCGGCCATGTTTACTGCTTCCTCTGCGAGGACTTTATTTATGACCCGACCCTAGAGGAAATCCGGATAGAACGAGAGGCATCCGTTGAAGGACATTGCAAGTTACCTCCATCCTCACCCCAACAACCTTCTAACACAGTCAACAGCGCGCAAACGCCGCCGAATAGACGATCACAAGCCCACCCCCGAAGACGTCAAATACATCGAGTCCAACACAAATGCCGCGCCCTGTCGCGCAACTGGCCTCCGCGGCTTTCTCAACATGGGGTCCACTTGCTTCATGAGCGTCGTTCTCCAATCTCTTATTCACAACCCTCTCGTGCGCAACTTTTACCTCTCGGACGGACATAAAAAGGAGTGCACGCAGATAAACTGCATGTCCTGCGCCATGGACGAAGTGTTTTCTGAGTTTTTTGCTACGGATAAAGTAGATGGATTTGGCCCTGTGAACCTTCTCACGACGTCGTGGAAGTGCGAGCAAACGCTCGCTGGCTACCAGCAGCAGGATGCACACGAGTATTTACAATTTCTTCTGAACCAGCTCCACGTGACGAATGGGGGGAATAGCGACACCAAGGAGGACCCATGCAAGTGTATCATCCATAAGAGTTTCTATGGGAAGCTTCAGAGCGATGTTACGTGTTCCGGATGCTCGAATGTTACGACTGCGTATGATCCGGTCATGGATCTATCACTGGATCTGCGGATCAAGTCGAAGAAAAAAGCGGTCACGGCAGAAGGAGAGCCAACGATGCAGACGCTACAGGAGTGTCTAGAGCGCTTTACGAGCAGCGAGAAACTAGGCGTTGATGGATACAACTGCGAACATTGTAAAAGCGCGCAGGAAACCGCGACGAAACAGTTGACGGTGAAGCAACTCCCGCCAGTGCTGTGTATACAACTCAAAGTACTCCCCCCCCCCCCCAAAAAAAAAAAAAAAAAAAAAAAAAACACCCCTCAGTGCAACAAGGCCACAAACGTAAACTTACAAACCTATAGCGGTTCGAACACTCCTCAACCGGATCCTCGAAAATCGATACAAAGATACGTTTCCCGATGCAACTTGATATGACACCATACACCACGCGCGCACGCCGGAAAAACTCCAAGGCGGCAGCGGACGGCGCGAGTAAAGGCAAGACGAGCGGGTTGTACATGTATGATTTATTAAGCGTGGTACAGCACCATGGACAGATTAGCTCGGGACACTATGTGAGCTATTCAAGAGAGAACGGTCAGGTCAGTACATAATCTGGTCATCTCCTCCAATGTTTCCAAGGGTACTGATAAGGGAATAGTGGTTTCAATTCAACGACAGTGTCGTCACATTAGCGACAGAGAAAGAAGTGTTGGGCGTGCAGGCGTATCTGCTATTTTATGTTGTCCGGAACCTTAGTTGAGGTCCGGTGAAAACCCAGTGCAGGAGTCATAATGGGAAACGGACATGGCTGAGAAGCAGGCGTAATCATATGGAGTTTTTTTCCTTTCCTTTCCTTTCCTTCCTTTCTTTTCTTTTCTTTGGACCCTTACTCTATTCTTAATTCTACAGGGAGATGTTTTTTTTTTGTTCATAAGACCGGCTTGTTTTTTTCTTTTTCTTTTTTCTTTCATTCTTCCCTTAACTACAGGCGTCGAGGACTTACTTATTCTTACTCTTATTTCTTATTCTATTGTTGATTATTAGGGTGGAATAACTATCACTATCTCAGTTGTTAAGGTATGAACACACAGCGAGTGAGAAAGCATGAGAGGCGATTTCTGGAAGATAACAATTCTTGGCAACATGCTATCATTGGCTCCGCTGTACACGTCCCAAATTTAGTAGACGAGGCAAGGGAAATTTCTAGGTCTATATCTCATAGTTGGAGAACACTCCCATAGACACTACTCCAGGTTGAGGACTGGTCTTTGCTATCATCTGCTAAAGTAGGATAGAACGGGATTATACTCGAGTGATATCCTATGATCCAAATTAGTTTATGGGCGTAGGAGGCGCTCCTTCCTTCCAAGGGGCTAGCAAAAATGCTCAGCTAATGGGAGACTTCTTGGTAAAGGTCCGAGTTTAGTTCGGGATAAAACATCTTTAAAAGGTTAGACCACTTTATCTCCCTTAGTATATGCTATTCTCGGTAATCAATGTTATGTCAACTCTGTTTTCAAACCTTCTAAACTCAAAAAGAGGGCTCAACATTATATTCAACGGGTTTTTAATTTTTGTGGCCTGCTCTCGGTGGCGGGGGGTTTGTCGACGTCCTGTCCCGGTGCGATCCCTATTCTCAAGTCCGACCTCGCACCCAAATTAAAGCCCAACTCTCACCTAACACTAGCGGTAACGGTGGACACAAGGCTAAAAAAAATAGGAGACAAGGAAGAATTATTGGGTCCATGAAAAGAGATTGAGATCTGTGCGTCGTGAGTCCAGCGAAATTAGAGTTGAGGCTACAATTATTCTAGCCCAAGCCTTACTAAGCATTTAGCTAGAAAGGCGTAATTAACTGCCAAGCCAGGTTATGATGGGGCTTGGCACCCGAGTGATTTATTGTGATCTAGAAAACCTGCGCTTGATATTCCCCTGTAACCTACTTGGCAGGAATTCACCTTCTGTTATAGATGTTGCATTGTGAGTCTTCAATGTCTCTATTATTGGGAGTGTTAACTCCGTGCGGTGTTATCTCTAGTCATTTTTTCAGATGTAATAGGAAGGATAGCCGAGTCTTTTTAGAGGCCACAGAAGTCAGTTCCAAACATTACCTCGCAGAGCTAAAGCCATATGCCCCAGAAAAACCCAAGTTATTACCCCGGAAAAGCCACAGTTATATATCCCCCGGTCCAAAGCCACTTGTCCAAGAAGTCCCATCACCGCGCGATATATGGAGCGTCTAGGGATCGATAAAAAAAATGAAAAAAAACTAGCCTCCGTTGCAATCGCCCCCCGAGGAAGTGGGGGTTAACGAAGTTATGGTACTTCTTGACCATTGCAGCTACCAATAACTCTCAAAAGGGGCTATTCGCGTTGATGGTAGGGGTGACTGTTCGCTGGTTACAAGAAGGAAAGGAAGAAAAGGGGTGTGTGTGAAATAGATGGGAAGAGGGGCTTGGATAACTGGGTTGGGAGCTACCAAGAATTTAGAAGAGCAAGTCCCTTCTACTACATGCTGTCTTCTCCTTACTACCCGTTCTTCTTTGTCAACTACACCCACATATAAGAGGCAACACGCAAAACACAGCACGCTGTACTTCTGATCTGAGGATATACCGGACAGTAACATCCACCAACAGAAGAGCCTTTCTACTATATACATATATCAAGCAGTCGAAATTTCTTGAATGACCGGTCGCTAATCATACTTAAGACTCTTGCTCTTAGGGGGACTAGATCTCGTATCTCTACCCTCGCTGGTTAGAGGTGGGCGACGTCCAAATTCAATCCATCGGCCTTTCTCAGAGCACTTCCGTAACTCCAAAAGGCCCATGGGCTGACACTTCACATGTGTCCTCTGGTATTCTAAGGATGCGATACCGGGAGCTTATTTTCATCGTAGCCCCCGCTTCCTTACGCGCTCATTTTGCCATCCACCTCCGCAAAAGCCGGTAGCTCCGCCGAAGAATGAACAGGATTCATTTACGAATACTTTACGCCTCGCCTCTCCGAAACTTCGCCCGAATTGATCGGACTTCTCTAGGAGTGTTTACCGAAATAAATGCCTTGAAATCATCCCCGGTATACGAAAATGTGTCTTCAAGCGGGTTTAGTTTCAACACAGAACGCCTAACGCCCCATTCGTTAAGCTTCTTGGGCCGATATATATATATATATATCTATACATATCAAAAAAAAAAAAAAAAAACGGTCTCTATAGGGACTCTTACACGTCTGGACCTGGAACTATGAGCGGCAAACCTTTCCGTTGTCATAATATATGCTGCACTAAAAATTCGGAGCCCGCCGTCAGGCTCAATTGAGATATGCGTGAATAAGTCTTCGGAATTGGAACTGCATGCTCGGTTGGGTTGCTTGCGCGTTACGCCTGGCACAGGATATCACTCGCTTGCCAATTAATTTATCTGAGACAAGATTTTGTTGAATAAAATTGTAAATCCCAGCCTTTTATCAAGCTCTGGTGGCCAAGTTGGTAAGGCGCAGCACTAGTAATGCTGAGATCCTCGGTTCAACTCCGAGTCAGAGCACTTTCTTTTGTCCCAAGATACTACGTAAAGCTTTTGGGTATTTTGATTCTGTTACTATGCTGATATTCAAAAGAGTTTTTTCTCTTGCCACTGGGAGAAACACGCAATTAACTCATAAAACTCAAAATTTGTCATTGGAAGAGAGATCATTGTATCTTGATGGGTATTATTTATATTTATTCTTCCTGAATAAGTGCTTGCACTATCTCGAACACTATCGTACATGCAACCGGGGCCTCTGCATCAATGCTTCTCACCCTTGATACAAAGTGAAAGACATTGCGGGGCTACAGAAACTCCGGCCCCCAAGACCCGTCCCCATTCCTCAATTCTTCTTATCCTGAGCGCGGCTAAAGGAAAGTAAAGACAAGTAATACTAAAATTGACAGTAACCTGATAAAACAGAAATGATATCAGCGCGTAGCGCAAACGTATAAAGAAAAATGGATATAAAAAAAAAGCAAACTCCGCGCCAGATCCTAAATTGCCTGAGTGACCTGGCAGAAAAAAATGCAGCAGGAAACAAAGATACGAAAATGAAGAAAATGGAAAGGAAAGAGAGAAAAATATGCCGATGCGAATCGAAGTAGCGTGTGTCCCCTAGGATATAATGGAAAAGGCAACAAATGGAAAATAAAAAATAAGCTATAATCCTCCCTAGTAGAAAGAATGAAATAATAGATCTCGTCCTATTTTCACTGAGTAACGTCAAGATGTTAAGTCCATATGCATAATAAGCTTATTCGACGCCCCAGTCTTCATCCCATGCACCCACACGGGTCTTCCGGGGCCTCTCGTAAACACCATAATCATCCTCATATTCGAGGACTGCCTCCACATCATCATCATCCAGTGCTTCGATAGACATATCGGTGGAGTATATCTTCTCCGTCAATGTATATGCAGCCCCTGTCACAGCCCTGCTAGCAATCTTGGCTGCAATGGAAAACATCAACCCTGCAATATACGATGACGGCTTGATCACAACCAAATTTGCAATGCTGACACCTCCAGATAGCATGATTTGAGAGGCGGAGCGTGTCAGTCGTGGTTTCGTAGTGGTTGAAATTGGGTCGAAGCGATGTGGCGGGGTGTTTCGAGGGGGTGTGGAGACCGATTCTGACCAGTTTTCCTCGGACTGGGAGTCAGAGCCGGACCAGAGACTTGGTGTTGATGCGTTTGAGGGAGTGGGCGAGTCTTGTGAAGGGTTGGTGAACATTCTGGGTTCGGTTCTTACGTCTATTAATGATGTTGCACGCTCTCGACGTTTGGCGATACGTATTTCCTGTGATTGGATCTTTGACTGCCGTTTGGTAGTAGGGCTCGTAGGACGGCTCGGGGATGGTGTGGAGGTGCGTGATGATCTCGTACTGATTGTTGGGAACGTATTTGTGTCGGTACTGAAGTCTGGGGTCTTGAAACCATTCCACTCCATCATCGGACCAACAGATGAAGGAACAGCTCTCTCTTTATGTGAAACATCTTTTCGTGAGATATCGACTAGTGTATTTGTCGCACCTTCCTTCAATTCCTCGATCTTTGCTGGGGGTGATTCCAGCCCACCCAAAATACCGGCCTCTTCCTCCTCCTCTTCTGCCACAAGCTCTTTCTTCTCAAACCCCTGTACCGATATCTCCTCGACCTCTCCCAAGTCGGCCAGCTCAGCTACCTTGCTTGGCCGTCTCCAAACTTTTGAGGGCTGTAATGTCCCAAATACTTCTGCCTCTCTACTCACACAATTCTCCCCCGTTCTTTGGAAAGGGCAAGCGGTTACCTCGTATGCTAGTATTTTCACCAATACACCGCTGAATTCAATGGCTTTCACGGCCGGAGCGTCTTCTGGTCTAACAAAATCTATCAGCATTCAACCCTCACTACTAAAAGCAGTATTGGTGACAAACTCAAGAATCTCTAGCCTCCAAAAACTCCCAGGACGGATTTGGAGACAGAATGTCCCTCGCCCATCCACATTCCAGCATTGACTACGTGAAAGCACTGGCCGCAACGCTGAACCAGACTGTAAGAATGCAATGTCATGAGGAATAGTTTTATATATTCTAATAGGGCCTGACAAAATTAGCTCCCAGCTCTTTTCCACCACCACCAAAACGGGTTATTTAAGGAACAAACATACCCGACGCGATGGTCCTCTCCGCTGGACTCGTCCATGGCAAGAGCCTTCCCCCAGAACCCACAGCACTAAAGCTCACAATCTTCGCGCTCGAGTGCGCAAACAACAAATCAATATTCTGGGCGCTCGCAGCAGCGGCACTGCCTGGCGTAGTAGTGGAGGCCACGGCACATTGCTCGGAGGTTGACGAGGAACTCCCTCTCCTTTCAAAGCCGGCACCGAGACGTACAGGCACCGACGCGACTCGTCTGGGGCCTCGCGGGCCGGGCGTGAACTTTCGCTGGGAGGGCGATGAGATTTGCATCATTGTGGGCTAGCTATTTCATACGGTTTCCCGGACTGCAAGAGTAAGAGGAAACGTAGCACCGAAGCACAGTAAAGAGCTCGAGATGCTTGGAACTCGAAGGGACGAGTTCCGAGGAGTCACGGGATCACGAACGCTTGATATGGGTCCGAGAACGTGACTTGGAGCGCGATGAAAAGAAGGAAGAGCTCAAAGTCTCAAGAGAGAGTGTGTGTCAGTCAGTCACGAATAGAGAACTGAGATTTCAAGCAGTTGGAAAAAACAAAAACAATAGATAGACAATAATAGGGACCACGAGAAAACCTGAAGAGGATAAATTGGGAAAAAGGGAAATTAAAAAGACGGGAATGAGCGGTGGACAGTGGGAGGTCTTAACAGAGGAAAACGCGATTGTAAGTGTAGGTAGGGGAGGGGGGAATTAATTTAGGGGAAAGTCTTGGACGGATATCCCTCGGGGCAATCGTTTGCCTAACCGTGAAGAGCGGGCGGTTATCAAACACATGGGCGTTTGTCTCATCCCCTGTCAAATCAATAATCTCCCCACTGTTATCACATCGTGAGGTGAGAATCAGGAAAGTGGGATGAGGTGAGATGCAGTTACCCCTCTGTTTGCTTCACAAATGTCAAAATCGCCATGCATCCTCCCATTAGCATTCCTTTCATGGATGGCATTGTCATATGCTGTTTGTTCGAAGCGCTGCAGGGTGCAGTCGCAATTTTTACAGGGGCAGCGTTGAAGATGGGACGGAACGTTAGGTACATGTACAGCGAGAGGTAGAATTATTGTAGAAACAGGGGTCTAAAAACAGGGTTTAGGTGGCTGACTCGGCCAATAGGACTCTTCCCATGCTTCTACAATAATTTTGCCTCACGCTGTACTTGCTTACCAGCAAAAGAACCAGAAAATGCGGTTGCTCAGGGCAGGGATAATTTGTATGGAGTGGCCCCGTTCTCTCATACAAATAATCCCTGTTTCCGTCACTTGCATTTTCTGGTTCTTTTGCTGGTAAGCAAGTACTTAATCGGCAAGACCCGAAGTGCAACTGGAACTCTGCAAGATGATGGTTGCAACCAAAGCTTGAAGCCTCCAAAAAGAAGCCGAAGCCCTTATGCACCTTATGCAAGGCCGGGGCGTCGCTAGAATACTCGCTAACTGTCTGCTGTAGCCTGTAGGGGAACCCGAACACCCCACACACATACACAACGCTTACCCCTCATATCCCCTCCAAACCCACAAAACACGATTCGACTGAGAAGAAAAAATATATAAAAACTTCAAACCCCACTTTACGTGCTACACAGAGGATATGGTATGAACAAGCTTGTGATATTTCAAGAGAGGAAAACAAAAAAACATAGGGAAAAAATACAAAGACGCTCCCATATCACCCAACCTCCCATACAGGTTTCTTCGCTAATCTAAGAAAAACACCCTCCCAAACCTTTTGAATCGCCCCACATCCCTCTATTCACGCAACAGATTAAATGTTTTATGCGTGGATAGGTTTCGAGTAGGCAGCCATGGCAGCCTCCTTGAAGGCCTCGGAGAGGGTAGGGTGAGCGTGACTTGTGCGACCAATGTCTTCTGAAGATGCACCGTATTCAAGAGCCAAAACACCCTCTGCAATCATCTCACCAGCATTGGGTCCAATGATATGGATTCCCAGAATCCTGTCGGTCTCCTTGTCTGTGATAAACCTGTAGAAGAAAGGAAAATATTAGCACCAAATCTCCGATACAATACAGTTAATAATCGCATGATATGCTCACTTAACCATTCCCTCAGTATCCAAGTTGGTCTTAGCTCTAGAGTTGGCGCTGAATGGGAAGCTTCCAACGTTGTAGGGCTTTCCAGTGGCCTTAACCTCCTGCTCGGTCTGCCCAACCCAGGCAGCTTCAGGGTGGGTGTACATGACGCTGGGAATGGCGCCGTAGTTGACGTGCCCGTGTCCCTTGCTGATGTACTCAACCGCTGCGATACCCTCCTCCTCGGCCTTGTGCGCCAGCATAGCTCCGAAGGTGACATCTCCAATTACGCGGATGTGGGGAATCTTGGTGCGGTATTCCTGGTCAATGACAATGCGGCCTCTCTCGTCGGTTTCGATACCAACGTTCTCGAGACCAAGGCCGGAGGTGTAGGGTCTACGGCCAATAGCGACAAGGACAACGTCGGCATCGAGCTGTGAAATCGGCGATTAGCTTAGGTTTATGCAAATATACTAACTGTAGTCTTAATCCTACCTGCTCCTCCTTTCCGCCCTTCGCAGCCTCAATCTTGATCTTAATGTCATCGGCGTTGACATCGCCACCGAGAACCTTGGTGTTGAGCTTGAACTTCATGCCCTGCTTTGAGAGAATCTTCTGCATGCTCTTGGCCATATCAGCATCCATACCTGGGCCACCAATAGCGCCCAAGTATTCAACCACGGTAACCTCAGCACCTAATCGTGACCACACGGATCCCTAAACCCGCTATCAGCTATACTCTCCCCCGCTAAAAGATTTGCCAGAAATTGGATACGAACCATCTCGAGTCCAATGATACCACCTCCGATAACGATCATCTTCTTAGGCACCTCGGTGAGCGCAATCGCACCTGTGCTGGTAACAACTCTCTTCTCATCGATTTCGAGTCCTGGGAATGGTGTAGCCTCTGATCCAGTGGCGATGATGATGTTCTTTGCGCGGTATGTCTGAGCTTCCCCACCATCGAGAGGATTTACCTTGATTTCGTTCTCGCCAGTGAGGGTACCGGTTCCCTTGATGTAGTCGACGCCGTTCTTCTTGAAAAGATACTCGATACCCTTTGTAAGACCGGAGACGGAGGTTTCCTTTGCCTTCATCATTTGTGTAAGGTTGAGCTTAACACCCTCGACTGCATGAGGTCAGTATTTCAGCTCCTAACTCCGAAATAAAAGACGAGATATAGCGTAATAGGTATACAAACCATCAATACCACGGTTCTTTACATCGTGTAGGATCTGGTGGTAGATATGCGAGTTGTTGAGTAGTGACTTTGAAGGGATACATCCCACGTTCAAACATGTTCCACCCAGAGCACCACGCTTCTCAATGCAAGCAGTCTATAAATCCCGCCGTTAGATCCCTACAAACTCCATATAATCTGCAATCGGTAACTCTTACCTTCAATCCCTCCTGAGCAGCCTTGATGGCCGCAACGTATCCTCCAGGACCGCCACCTATATAAAACCTCATCCGTCAGCTCAGCTATTCCCAACATATCATTTCCTCCAAGCACCTATCGTAGGAATATGGTGCACATACCAATGACAATTACATCATGTTCGGGAGTCTCAGAGGCGAATCCTCTGCGGGGAACAAGGTAGAAGGCGGAGGGGGCGCCTGAGTTCAAGGGCCGGAGTAATGAGCGGGACTGTCGGGGAATAAACGACTTCAACATGACTGCCCAGAGAGATTGAATCAAAAAGATATCTCTAAAATTGATGAAAGTGATGAGGATGGAGCAGAAGGGCAAGAGCAAACAGAACGGTAAAATAAATCTTCCTGGGAAAGAGGAAGGAGAAGATGCTTTTTTTCTTTAAATCTGAAGTGTGAGTGAAGAAACCCGGAGTTCAAGTTTCTCACTTAGCGAATGGGGCCTCTTGGGCGGAACCTCCACAGACCGGGTAAGGACTCTTGGCAACTACGATAGCCGGTGTCCGCGTGCCACCACGGAATCCCCAACAAATTACTCAGCGGGGCCATACAGGAGCGCCACGATAAATTTCCATCCTTCCGAAGGTTCAGTTCCGGAGGACGGGGGTCCAGTCGTTCATTGACAATTAAACCCCGTTGACAAATTCGGGTTTCTTTTTCTGCCTCGCCGGTAGCGGACCGAGAAATATGCAATTGGTGATAATTCTTCTTCTCCATGAATCTTCATGAAGCTGCTCCTCTGTCCCAAGGGGTCGGATCGATTTCATATCGTACCATGGGAAGGCTTTAACCCCGTCCCCCACCACTTGCTCATCCACGTGCACCTGAGAAGGTCCAATTGGAGGGTAAATTGCCATTGAAACATCTCTTATGCCGTTTCTACCCATCATCAAAAGGCAGTGCACCGCCATCAAAAGCTCTGCTTCGGGGGTGTGCCTAAATCAGCACTAGCCACCATAAAAACCCTTAAGGGACTCCACACTTGCCACTTTTTGTGAGTCAGATGGATCATATCGCGTCACTCGCACGATCCAGGTCTTTGAAGGGTTCGTGTTTTCAAGAGGTGAAGCTCTGATAGTGACGTCATGAGAAAGTTTGAAAAGATTTCTAGAGTACATACCTGGTCATGAGCCAAGCTCGAATAGAGATGTCATCTCGATGCCCTATGGAGTCTATATATGGAATTGAACTCGGGGATTCGTGAGGATTTGAGATAGGGAAAATAGCTGCAGGCACATAAATAGTTATGGTCTCCTCAGTCTCGCCTATCCCTGTGATAATGAAAACAACCATGCTTGGGCCTCTCTCCCCGGATTATAAGCGCTTCTTACGAAAGGTAATGACATAATAACACCCCGAACAGCTCTTATAGATAAATTAAAGTTATAGCCAGCTGCATTGAAATTAAACATGATTATAGAAATCTAATAATTGACGATATTCCTCTCATTGAGTGGGCGAATCATGTTCTGGCAGTTATGGAATACCAGTTAACGACTCATGGTCGACTTGTGCTTGATTGTTGGAAGTATATTCTGACACCTCACATTGATGTAAGAATATCCGGCTTACGTCATTAGATCATTCGCGCAGAGTTTGAAGCGCGCGGAAAGTACATGTAGCCTTTCCTTTTCTGACAGACGAGATATTCCATAACGTTGATGTCCGTCTATATGGAGCCTACAATGATGAAATAGATCCCACTATGCCTAGAAATGTTTGTGAACTACGGCCACTCAGTCTTTTTGAGAGACCACCAAGTTGGGTTCTTGTTTGCACTACATGTAACTACATGTACATACATCTTACTTGTCCCTCTGATTATATAATATACTTGTACTACTCAACTAAAGCCCATACAAAGTTTACTAGCGAAAGGTTGAATTCTGTCACCCATATGAGCACAGGATGGCGGGGTTGCATACACAAGTACATCTAGGTACATATCTGAAAGTTTACTACCTATGCTTTTAGTTTACGAGATCTGTCCCCTATATTTGTCTTCCGATGCCATTTATTTATAATTATTTATTACCCGATTAAGCTCTTATGACGGCGTTGTTGGGTCATCTTAACCAGAAAACTCCCCAAAATGGCCAAACGAAGCTAGTAACTCGAAATTACATAATGACGTTCGATCATATTAATGAAGCGCCGGCGATGATGGTCTGCACTCGTCAGAGCAAAAAGCCAAGTACAAGTATACTAGTCTAAAGATGCATAGTCCGTGGTATCAATGTTGCGGCGGAGTTGCCTGACGATACAAGAACAAGTAGTATATGGGACAAGACAGATCACTGGGACACAGTACTCCCCAGTAGCTGCTAAGTAGCCTGTATCTTCGCCTATTTATTACGTCTCTCTCTCTCTCTCTCTCCTCCTTTCTTTTCGTCATCATCATCAATACACTTAGATTCGACGCGATATTTCCCTACAAAACCTCCGAGATGATCGTCGGAGTTGGTCATCCGAGCACAGAATATCACTCGACCTCTCTTTACAATCCTAATTGCGCAATTATCAAGACATGAGGAAATCAACGACCAAATACCTCGGGACATGAGGGAATCAATACGACATTGTCCAACGAAGAAAATAGAGAGTCTGTGTGTATAAAAGGGCTGCATCTCTCTCTGAAAAAACATTCAACATCCAATTGCAAACACAACAAAACTCGATAGATCTAACGAGTCCCCCAATTCCAAAATGCTTCTCAAAAACATGATTTTGTTTGTTGTGGGGGTGTTCGCAGCCTCGGCCCACGGGAAAGACTCGAAGAGCGAGTCTATCACTCTTGGAAACGGTCTTGCACCGTCAATGCAATCCTCAGAGTCTCATAAGAGACTTCACGCCAGGGAGTTTTTCCCTGCAGTAAACTTCGGGGCCTCCGGACCTCCATCAACTCATTGGGCTCCTGGTTTGTCTCTTCCTTCCTCCTCATCAAAGTTCTTAAAACTGACCAAGCACAGTGAGTAAGCCCGCTGGTCCCCAGCTTCAAACCCGGGAATTTTTCCCCGTAGTGGATTTTGGAGCATCCGGGGCTCCAACCAGCTGGCAGCCTGGTTTGTCTCCTTCTAATCCCTCTCCCCAAGACCCTAATACTGACCAAATACAGTGAATAAGCCCACAGGGTCCCAGCTTCAAACCAGGGAGTTTTTCCCCGCAGTTGACTACGGAGCATCAGGGCCTCCACCAAAATACTGGGATCCTGGTTTGTCCCCTCTCCCACCCACCCTATAGTCCACAGCGCTGACCAAATACAGCGAGTAGACGCGCCGCTAGCGCTCCGATCACCCCCCCGTCCCCTCCGCCCCCTCCGCCCCCTCCGCCCCCTCCAGCCCCGTTAGTCTCTGAGCCGCCAAGTACGTCTCAGCCTCTCCCCCGCCCTTTATCTCCTGTTATGCATGCATGCTGACCAACCATAGTTGTCATCTCGGAATTTGACATTGACCGCCTCGGCGGCCCCGCTTACAATTATCGTCAGTGGGAGACCCCAAAGATGACCCCTGAGGAGGAGGCCGACCGTGAGACGTGGAAGGATGGCCCGCCACATACTCCAGGCGAGTTTGAATTCTCGTTGGCTTTTGCTTGGCAGGCTTTCAAGGATTTGCTTTCGTTGTTGCCTATAAAAAGCGCGCTGTCACCATGACGAGCCGTTGTTAGATAGGATGTAGTGATGTAATGGAATAAATAAATACGTTCACTCACCCCTCATCCATATGTTCACTCGGATAGATGGTGATTAGTTTTTAATAACGTGGATCTTGTAAGACTGCTGATACGTTAACTGTGAAGTTGTTTATATATAAACCTTTGGGTGGCATGATCTTGCATGATATTGAAATGCCACATCTAAACTCTATGTATAAAGTTGATTAATTGAGGGTCAAGGTAGCTGCAGTGGAATAAGCATATAGTTTGTGTTTGATTCGATTAAGATAACGAGGTACGACTATTCAAAATTTATGTTACTAGATAAAATAAATGAAAATCCGAAGAATTACCTCGAGAGGTGTTCCCCACAACCAGTATTACAATGTGGCACCGTATCGCACCAAAATTAAAAGCCAACCACGAGCGGGGCCTTAGAAAAAGAGTCAATGCTCTACCGTACCATAAATAAGAGAAGTGTTAATAAGATCGAATTGTTATGTTTAGAAAGTGCAAGCTAGTGTATTGAGAATGAAATCGTAAGAGAGACAGAGTCATCGTGCAGTATCTGTCACTTTATCCCCCCAACCACCGCCACCATACTCAAAGTATTGGTTAATCTTGATGTGTCCGATTCTCAGCCAGCAAACGCAATTGATGAGTTAACAATAACAACAACAATCGGCGGTATAAATAGATCCGGATAGGACGAGCCGAGCGAGTGATGGGCTGTGACGCGGCTTAAGTCGCGGCTGACGTTAATGTACCTATGGCTTTTCAATTGAATATACATTTATTATCCCTTGGGTGGTGAGACTTGTGCATTCTTAGTCCACAGATACTACAGACTCGGTCGATTGACCTGGAAGATATGCGTTGTCGGGTTACTCAATGAAAGCTACATACATAAAGCTTTATTCTGACCCACTGCCAATGGAATAAGCTTTTTCCTCAAGCTGCTTCAACTTAGTTAAGCGTGGATGTAGTACTGACTATAGGGAGCTGTTATTAGCTGAAGACAGCGTATAAAGACAACTAGCTTAGACTAGGCGAGGAACACATTCTAGCTATAACATGTACCTACATATACATACCTATAAACAGGGAGAGGATCGAGACTTGAATAGACACCAGTAACCGCTCTATAATATGCCTACACTGACGGCTCGGCGTTGAAACTCGTGATCAGTCGAAACAGGCGCATGTGCCGTGATTTGCCTATCCCATAAACATATCGCATTGAGCGGTGCCCTCACTAATCCCAAGCAAGGCTTCTTTCCAAGTCTTTGCTAAAAACCATTCCAAACTATCATTACTTTCACCTAGGCCGATCATTGGCTGGTTCGTGGGGGCTAATTTTTGACGTGGTTCCCGCCGTTGCCATAAGCGAACCTCCCCACCCAGTCGGAACCGCCATAACACCCCCAGCAACACCCCAACCCCACCACAGTCCAGTCCAGGATGTATCCGAACCGGAAAAAATCATTACCTCAAAAAAATCCCTACGACGAATGAATGGGCTCACGAGCGAGCTTCATTCCATCACTAGAAACACCAAACACACCATGGCCGCCGTCGCCGCCGCCGCCCGCAACACCACTGTCCGCCCGTTCCTCGCGGCTCCACTCCGGCTCCGCCAATGCACTAGGAGGAGGCATGTGCACATCAAGGCAACGCCGTCAACGTCATCCATCGATGGCCCGGTGGACCTGTCGGAGCAGACACAGGCAATCCCGAAGTTGAGCGGGGCGGGGCCCTTCCCGGCTGGTGAGTTGCAGGGCGGTCCATCCTTTCTGGGGTTGGGTGGGGGCGGGAACTGATTGCGCGGTGTGGGTTTAGATGTGAGGTTTGAGGTCCTGGGAGCTCCGTATTCTATGCTGTCGGTAGCTCTGCCGGCTTCCTCATTGCTGTACTCGAGGAGAGGAACATTGGTGGGAATCAATGGGCAGGCTGAGAATGTGAGGGTCTTTTGGGGGGTTGTGACGGGTTTGTGGAAAGTTCTTTATCTGACCTTGTGGGCTTGCAGGCAATCTCAACGTTATCGATTCTGGAGCCCTTCAGAAGGGCAGCTCTACGGATTCCGTTTCTATACCAGAAAGTATGATAAGGCCCCAATGCTGCGGGAATATCTATCATCCAGTACAGATCGATACTACGACGCAAACAAAATGCTGATACAAACACCCCTCAACAGATATCCTCCACCACCCCACTCACATGTCTAATATCCACAAACACCCCCAACACCACCTTCGGCATCATAGAGCTCGACGGCAAAGTCGACTGGATGCTCACCCAAAACGACGCACTCCTCGCCTGGACCGGCCACTCCATCTCCTCCAAGCCCACCATCAGCCACAAAATGGTAGAGCCCTCCCTACATCCTAGAACCCACAATCAGTTTCCACTAACAATCCCAGAGTCTGGCCCACTGGGGCAACTCCAAGCTCACCGGTCGCGGCCTCGTCGCCCTTATCGGCCGCGGACAGATCTACCAGATCACCCTCAAGCCGGGTGAGGAGTACACAATCCACCCCAGCGCCCTCCTGGCATACTCCATGAACGGCCACTCCCGGCCAACGCCGTATAGACTCAAGAACACGTCGCTCCGTCTGCAGATCCCACGCTTCAACATGGTCCGCCGGTTTCTGCCGGAGGTGGAGTTTATCCGGAAGATAAAAGAGTCGGATGTGTACAAGACCATTGCCCGAACACTCTTTGGCATCAAGACATGGTCACGAAGAACTATCTGGGGCGACAGGGTATATTTCCCCTTCCCCTCTCTCTTTCTGTTTGAATCATCACCGGCGGTGCTGATGCGGTAGGTGTAGTTATTCCTCCACTTCCAAGGCCCCAGCACAATCCTTGTGCAGTCACGGACCGCACGTCTCTCCGAGGTCTTCCGCAAGGAGGATTTTGGCGAGCTCGCAGACACCGAGCCGGGGCTGCTCCCGTCGCCGATAGCTACCAAGGCGATTGAAGCGCCCTCCTCCTCCTCCTCCTCGGAGAAGATCACGATCGGCGCGGCGGATGTGCGGCCGGTGGGTGCGTCAAGTGGTAGGCATCCGAGTGCGCTGAAGATTGCGATTGTGGGCAGGGACGGGAAGACGGAGTTTCAGGATTCGGACTTTAAGGCTTTTATAAGGTCGTAGGATGAGCGTGAGGGCGAGGGGGGTTGAGTGTAATATATTACATAGATTGAAATGGGAAAGGGTTTATAGCTTTAGTAAATGTGGGTTTGTGAAGTGTGTTCTAGTGATGTGATGTGATGTGATTGACGTGATCTGCTGTGATTGTGGGCTAGGTGATGTCTTGTGGTAATGATCGCTTGGTGACTTTGTAAGCGGATGAGAGTGTCCGGGCGTAAACCACCCGCCTCAGTGCATGTACATAGTGTGGGACTGAACCCAACATGCAGTGAAGCTATGGCAGTATCGATCTAAAATGAGCTGCCCATCCTAGGCATCTGTAGGAGCTCCAAGAATCACAAAGTAATTAGTCCATAGTGCTGGAAGTGCCGCTCTTGACTCTGCTCTAACTACGTGGGCCTCAACACTTTTTTTGGCTGTATGCGAAACTCGAGTGTGTGACGAAATCGTGGAATTGCAGAAAGGTGAACCAAAGCTAGCTAGTATCAACGCTCTCCAGGACACATTTATTTCTACATGTCATCCAAGTGTTCGTGGTTCGTGGTTCGTGGTATTCATCTGGCCATGTAGATCAGATCATTTCCGTTCAAAGCAACAATAGAACACATCACAATCACCAGCACGGTCCCAGAGCAATTACGGATACTATTCCCCTGATCAACATACAGGAAAAGCTAATTTTATTCTACCATTCCCCGCTATCTCCCAGCAAAACACAGGTCACACTAAGCCTCCGCCGGCGGCGCCAACGTAGTCTCCATCCACGCACCCATCTTATTCACGCTCTCATCCCAGTCCAGCAGCCTCTGCTTCATACTCACAATCTGGTCCTTATCCAAGACCTTCGGCTGCACCCACGAGATCCTCGCCACCTCGGCCACCTGATCAATGCTTCCCCTCACGAGCCCCAAGCTCAGCGCCTTCATCAGCAGATGCTCGACCTCCTCGGGGTAGACACGTGTCTCCTCCAGGATGGTCGCAAACGACATGGCCCTGTCGTGCGGCGGGCGGCGGAACACCGCCTCCGTCAGAGCGGAAAGGCAGATCTTCTCGCGGAGGAACTTGGACTGTTGCTCGAGCAGGGGCTGCTTGGAGAGGTGGCCAGAGAGCCCGTGGAAGCCGGCGAGGTTGCCGGCGTTGAAGGCGAAGAGGAGCTCGCGCAGCCAGGCGTGTTCGGTGTTTTTGAGCGAGTCGAGGATGGGGTGCAGGAGGAGCTCGCCGAAGTTGTAGATGGTCTCGCCGAGGAGGGCGGCGACGGAGAGGTTGTAGGCGCGTTCTTGCTGCTCGGGGGTGCTGAGGTCGGTGACGTTGACGCAGGCGAGGTATAGGAGGGCGTTTTTGTAGTAGGAGGCGAATTCGAGTTTTGCCTAGGGTGGGGTTTGTTAGCTCTCTATATGCGGTGGTGGGGTGTTTGGGGGGGGGGGGGAGCTACGTTGTAGTAATCGGCGTTCACACGGTAGAATGAAGCGTGGACGACGGACTCGACAGAGTCAAAGGTCTCGAGATGCTTCTCGGCATCATCCAGAGCTTTCCGTGCGCCCTCCAGATCTCTCAGGAGCAGCTTTACCCGAGCTACCTCGACCGTGGCATAGACATATGCATCCTTCGAGTCGTCCCGATTCACCTTTTCCGCCAGGGCTGTCAGGAACTCTAGTGCCTCCTGGTTATCTGTATCCCGCCATCACCATCACCATCATCAGCTTTCTTATTCTTCTTCTACTCTGTGCAGCGTGCGGCTTGCTTGTTTGAGATGGACGGAATGGACGGACCTTTGCACTGTCTCGACGCCGACAGGCCTAACGTGACGAGCTTGAGCTGATTTATCTTATCCGAGAAGGACAGCACAAAGTTCTTGTAGAGCGGGATGCGCTGGGGCGCGCTGTCGGGGTGCTCAAAGAACTGGAGCAGCACGCCCGTCAGCTGGTGCCACAGCTTGCGCTCCCAGTAGTCCTCGAAGTCGATGAAGAGCGGCTGCAGGCTGGGCGGGGCTACCTCGTCCCGCTGCTGCGTGAGGAACTCGGGAACGGGCTTGGGGTCGATGTCCATGGCTGCTGATGTTTGGGGGGGTGATGGAGTTTGATGATGGATTGATTGATGGAGCAGTCAGTGGGGTAGGCGAGGTAGTGCGTGGATGGGATAGGATAGGATAGGATAGGATAGGATAGGTGGGTATTGTAGTTGTGATCTCTATCATTTACATCTTGGTGGGATGGAAACAGCAACCAACCCAACCAACCCAACCAGCCAGCCAGACCTCGACTGAGCCCTGACCCTGGGCTGCTAGTTTACCCCCCCGATGAGTAAGCACACAGCAAGCAACGCACATCACGTGGTGGGGCCGCACCTCCACCCCGACCGACGACCACACATCCCGCCTACCGGCCTTTCGAGGGTTTCAGTTTTCCTGTAAAAAGCCGCCGCCCCGACCAATTCCTTTTTCTCTCTCGCTCTCCACTCATTTTTTGCACACCTCAACAAAACGATGCAGAGGTGCCTGTTTTCCGCTGTGCCACGGAGCTCGTGGGCGCCGGCCGTTGGCCCGCGCATATTGGCGAAGAGGGCCATCTCCGATATCGCAATCACGAGAACCGGGAAGCCGATCATTCGCCAGCCGTCCGGCGGGAGGTGAGTCTCCCACTCCTACTACTTCTGATGTGTATCCGGGTGGGCGGGTGGGTGCTAACAGTGCGATAGGTCTTCGATTGGAGGTTCGTTTTTTAACACCCGGATCATATATGGCGGGCCGGCGGGGGATGGGATGGGGTTGCTAATTGAGTCGGGAGGGCAGGCCACACCATCACCGTGTTCGGAGCGTCTGGATTCCTCGGGAGATATATTGTCAACAGACTCGGTATGACACCCTGGTTGGAGTCGTGGGGTGGAGGAGAGGGGAGAGGGGCAGGGCGGGACATGGGTATGGGGCTGACTGGACGGCGGGTGGATAGCTAATGCCGGGTGCACGGTTGTGATCCCGTACCGCGAGGAGATGACCAAGCGCCATCTGAAGGTCACGGGGGATTTGGGAAAGGTTGTGTTTATCGTGAGTGTTCCTGCGCCGTGGGATGTGGGGGAGTGGGGATTGGGAAATGGATATTGGGAGCGAATATTGATATGGCGCGTGCGGGAGTAGGAGTTTGATCTGAGGAACACCCCGTCGATCGAGGAGAGCGTGAGGCATTCGGATATTGTCTTTAATTTGATCGGGCGTGACTACACCACCAAGTATGTTTTTCTCTACTATCTACTGCTTGATTATGAGAGCTGGTGGCTGACGATGATTGTGATAGGAACTTCACATACGAAGATGTCCACGTCGAAGGAACCCAGCGCATCGCCGAAGCAGTCGCAAAATACGACGTCGACCGCTTCATCCAAGTCTCCTCCTACAACGCCGACCCCAACTCGCCCTCCAAGTTCTACGCCACCAAGGTACTTCTTCCCCCCCCCCTCTCGCACCAGCTACTAACACCCCACCCCAGGGCCGCGCCGAAGAAGACGCGCGCCTCATCTTCCCCGAAACGACCATCGTGCGCCCCTCGCCCATGTTCGGCTTCGAAGACCGCCTCCTCCTCAAGCTCGCCAGCGTGACCAACCTCTTCACCACCAACAGCATGGCGCAGCGCTTCCGCCCCGTGCACGTGATGGACGTCGGCAAGGCCCTGCAGGCCATCGCGTACGACGACAGCACCGCCGGCCAGACGTTCGAGCTCTTCGGCCCGCAGGAGTACTCCATGGCCGAGCTGGCGCACATCGTCGACCGCGACATCATCCACAAGAGGCGCCACATCAACCTGCCGAAACCCGTGCTGAAGGCAGTGGCGAGGGCGCTGGACTATGTGTGGTGGCCGACGATCTCGCCGGATGAGGTTGAGCGCGAGTTTATTGACCAGAAGATCGACCCGAGTGCGAGGACGTTTGAGGATTTGGGCATTGTGCCGGAGGATGTGGACGATATTGCGTATCGGTACACTAGGCACTTCCGGTATGTGTATTCCTGTTTTGCGTGTGGGGGGAGTTGGTTGTGTTGGGCGGGATGTTTGCTAATGATGGTGGGGGATAGTCCGGCGTCGTACTATGATCTGCCGCCGATGACGGAGAAGGAGAAGAGGGAGGAGAGGAAGTATCTGCACGTGGAGCACGACCTTGTCTAGAGCCCCTCATCCTCTACCCTATCTCTCCGCCCCAGTGCTTTTTGTTTCTTTAGTTTTGTGGATATATACATATATCAAGTGTGGTTTGTGCAGACAGAACAGTAGAGTGCAGTATGCTTGCTCAGTAGATTGTGTATATACGGCATCAAGCGTATTACGCTGAAATCGATTCTTTTTTCTTTTTCTTGTTTAGTTTTCTTTTTTTTACGTAACTACATGTAGATCTTTTCATGCTGCCGTGATCATTACCAGTGGCTGGCTGTGGTGGGTGTGGGCGGGAGGGAGGGAAATGATTGTTTAGTAGGTTCTGCAGCTCTGTAGCTCCGGCTTGTGGTGCCGACAGAGACAGACATTGCAAGTTATGGATGGTTACGCGACTCCCGCGCAGGCCAAAGTTACCTCGGGTACAATGATAGATAATCATAAATAGAAGAATATCCTGTGTTTTTGTACATGTCAGTCAGTCAGTCAGTCAGCCAGTGTGCGATACATATAACAGCTCCCATGCTCGCACGCAGACTCGCATCCAGCATTCCCCACACCCGCACACATCACCCCGCCAACCACACCCACACCCACACCCGCCACAGCAGCACAATGGCCGAACCCAAGCACCCGCACGACGCCTTCCTCACCGCGCAGCTCGCCTCCCTCCCCGCCCTACCGGCCACCGAACGCCTCTCCCCATCCGTAATCCGCATCCTCGGACACAACCCTGGAAAGGTCTCTTTCTCCCCACCCACCCCTCCCTCCCACTACTAACACACAGCGCAGTTCACCCTCCAAGGCACAAACACATACCTCCTTGGCACAGGCCCCACCCGCATCCTCCTCGATACCGCCGCCGGCAGCCCCCTCTGGCACAGCACCCTCCTCACCGTACTCTCCGACGAGGCCGCAACAGTACCCACATGCCTCATCACGCACCACCACGGCGACCACACCGGCGGCATCCCCGCGCTGTTGTCCTCCGCGCCCGGCACAGCGGTGTATAAACACACACCCCCGCCGAACCAGCTCCCAATCACCGACGGCCAGGTATTCAGCGTGCCCGGCGCGACACTGACGGCGGTGCACACGCCCGGCCATACGGCCGACCACATGTGTTTCCACCTCGCGGAGGAGAACGCCGTGTTCACGGGCGACACGGTGCTCGGGCATGGGACGACGGTGTTTGAAGACCTGGGCGCATACGTGGGTTCACTGCAGCGGCTGATAGGACTCGGTGCGCGGCGGGCGTATCCGGCGCATGGCGCGGTTATTGAGGATTTGGGGGGACGGGTGGCGGCGTATTTGAAGCATCGGGAGGGGAGAGAGGCGCAGGTGCTGAATGTGCTGAAGAAGAGGCAGGAGAGGAGCAAGTTGGCGGGGTTGTGGGGTGGGAGTGAGGGGGTGACGGCGGGGGAGGTGGTGGCAGAGGTTTATCGGGGGCTGGAAGGGGATTTGGTGAGAGCTGCGGAGAGGGGGGTGGTGCAGGTGCTAGAGAAGGTGAAGGGGGAGGGGGGGGTGAGGTGCGAGGAGGAGGGAGAGGTGAGGAGGTGGTTTGTGGTGGAGAAGCCGCTGAGGCTGTAGAGGTGTTTAGGTAGTAATGAATATATAGGTAGAAGTATCTTTTCTGGTTCTGGCGATATTAATAGTTAGTAGAGGTTTTATAACGAGGGTCAATGATGGCCTGACTGGTAATGATTGCTGTGAGCAAATATGGGAAACCATAGCCCTGTAAACAACGATAATAGAGCCCTGGTCGTTTTCTTGCATCCCGCTGGCCTATGTAGCCACCTCCGGCCACCGCACCACACTTATCGTATGCGGCAGTGGAAGTTTATAGTACGGCCGCTGTTTGGATGTCAGAGCCCGGCTGGTAGCGATTTGTATCGCCGAACCTACCGGCAGGGGAGGACCCGCCGGCGCTTTTGCACGCAGCCCCCCAACAGCACCGGTCAGATGAGTGTTTGTATATCCCAACGCCCGCACAAGCGTCTTGGTTATATTGTCTTTTCGCCATGCGGTTTCTGCTTCCCCAGCTGTAGGACTCAGAGTAGTAGTAATCCTGGAAGCGACGCTCTGGGCGGGGTTAGAATCATGGTGTCTATCTGATTGCTTATTACTACTAACGTTTTCTTCGCTTACTCCGGTCTCGGGGCAGTGTGTTTCATGAAGTAGCTCAGGTCTGGCCCGGAGAAGGGGGGGGGGGAATGGAGTGTATACTACGATGTGTGCGTAGTCGGAATACTCTTGTTCGGTGTTTAGGCCGTAGCATCTTTCACGGCGCTACTGTTCGGGACCGGATAAGAGTTTTTTTTTTGTGTCTGTGGTTCTGATTATTACTGTGGTGCTAGTGGAATGAAGTAACTCGAGAGGTTGATTCTTCGATGCTTGAATTGATGATGAGAAGAGAGAGAGAGAGAGAGAGAGCCCAGTTCTCTCCTCGCCTTAAGTACGGCGCTTCTTTAATGACAACTAAGCTACTAGTGTTCTTTAACCACGTATGGCGTATATTCTCTAGCATGCCCGCCTAGTAATATCGAACCCTAAGAGTGGTGATATGGGGGAGGGGCGAGTCATGAAATTATCAATCAATCAATCAATCAGGGCCGAGTCATGAAGCATCACTCGCACCGACACAAATACTCAATTATCCTACGCTGGGATCAATTATAACGGGTTTCCTCTCAGCCTTGCTATATAAGTTTTTATATTAATAACAGAAGTGGATAGGTCAAGAGGGCTGATGATCTTGTTTTCTCCTCCTGGATTCGTGTTTTTGTGGGCTAGGTCGAGTGTACAAGTATACACAAGGGTTAAAGACATGTAAGCAATTAGACAACGAGACTCTAAGAAGAGGACAAGAATTCATCATCTAGCTACATATAAAAGACTACATCCCCTCTTATCAATCAAATCTATCATCTTCGCTATGCAGAAACCTACATCTTAAATTCCACACCAGACCAATCCACCACAAATCACCACTTATCCACTACTTTTTTTTCCTAAAGCACATGCGAAAGAAGAATTAACTAAGTATACACACCTACATATCTCGCTAAAATATCTATATATAACAAAACCTAGAGTATCAATGATAATAGTGCATTTCTTCCTGAACAGACTAAACCGCGTCTCACAACACCAACAACGAACAACGTCCACACCAAAAGTACAATATCACAACCCCGGGGGCCAGATAACAATACTACCTGCTGTAACTCACCTTCTACTACGATTTCACCGCTGAACTTATCTGATGACTCATCACTGACTAATCACCCACCACACAAGCTCCAGCAAGCACCCCATGCGGCTCCTCCCTGGCGTCATCGTGCCTACACTACAACCACAACCCCCACCACTCAACCCGCCCGCCGACCCCTCCAAGCTCCCCCCTCCGCAGCTCCTCACACCCCCACCAAAGCTCCGTCCCTCGATGCTCTCGGCCAGCATTCTCCGGCCAATTGCGCGGGGAGGGCGTCTCCACCACCACCACCTCCACCACCTCCACCACCTCCTCGCACGACCCACGCTAACCCGCAGTTTCGCCTCGACGCAGCAATGGCGCGCCACCGAGACCGAGAAGGAGAAAAAGACGCTCGCGGCAGCGGTGGACCAGAAGAAGGCCGCGGCAAAGATGCTGGCGGGCGACGCAAGTAAGAAGACGAGTCTGCTGGCGGAGGCGGAGCTCACGACGAAGGAGCAGAGGAAGGCCGATTGGGGCATCATCAAGGAGATGTCAAAGTACCTATGGCCGAAAGTAGGGGGTCTTCTTTGTGTTTTTGTTTTCCCCCAGCCCTCTTGTAGAGCGTAGTTGTTGAGAAAGGAAATTGTGATAGGGCGAGCTAGGGATCAAGGTCCGGGTCGGACTATCGCTGGGACTACTGGTTGGCGCAAAGGTATGTTTCTAAGCTACTTGTACTTGCGTAGAGCAGAAGGGAGAGTATAGCGAGAGGAGGGACTGCGCGGGACTGCGATACTGATTCCCGCCAGGTCCTCAACGTCCAAGTCCCCTTCTTCTTCAAGACCATCGTAGACTCCATGAACGTCGACTTCCTCGCCCTCGGCGGCACCGTGTGGACCACGGCCGGCGCCATCATAGTAGCATGTACGAGTCCTCAATCTTCCCTCCCGCGCCGCAAAAGCTTAAAATAATGTTTTTTTTTTAATCTCAAGATGGTCTCACGCGGGTAGGAGCGACGGTGTTCCAGGAGCTCCGCAACGCCATATTTGCCAATGTTGCGCAGAAGGCGATCCGCAAGGTGGCCTGCAACGTCTTTGACCACCTACTGCGCCTGGACCTGAATTTCCATCTGTCGCGGCAGACGGGGGGGTTGAGTAGGGCGATTGATAGAGGGACGAAGGGGATCAGCTTCTTGCTCACGTCTATGGTGTTTCATATCTTTCCGATATTCTTGGAGATATCCATGGTTTGTGGGATATTGGTAGGATTGCCATTAATTCCTCCGGGTGGAGCTTTATGGGAAGGTGGCTAAGTGGCAGAGACATATAAATACGGGCCTAGCTTTGCGGCGGTCACGGCGGCGACGATGCTTGCGTATTCGGTCTTTACGATCAAGACCACGTCGTGGAGGACAAAGTTTAGGAAGCAGGCAAATGCCGCTGACAACAAAGCCGCGACTGTGGCAGTTGATTCTCTTATTAACTATGAAGCTGTTAAGGTACAGTATATCCCTTCCTTTCCTTATTTCTCCGCCAATTCCTCAAGCTCGGGATTGATAGTCTTCATGATGCATGATAGTACTTCAACAATGAGAAATTCGAAGTCGCCCGTTATGACTCTGCGCTGAAGAGCTACGAGAAGGCATCTATCAAAGTAGCCACATCACTGGCCTTCCTTAACTCTGGCCAAAACATAATCTTCTCCTCCGCGCTCACTGCAATGATGTACCTCGCCTGCCAAGGCGTCGCCGAAGGCAGCTTGACAGTCGGAGACCTTGTGATGGTCAACCAGCTCGTCTTCCAGCTGTCAGTCCCACTGAATTTTCTAGGCTCGGTATACCGCGAGCTGCGGCAGTCGCTGCTGGATATGGAGACGCTGTTCAACCTGCAGAAGGTCAATGTGGCGGTCAAGGACGCGCCGAATGCGAAGCCGCTCGAGTTCAAGGGCGGCGAGATCGTCTTTGAGAATGTGACGTTTGGGTACCACCCGGATAGGCCGATCTTGAAGAACTTGAGCTTTACGATCCCGGCGGGGAAGAAGACGGCAATTGTGGGGCCTAGTGGTTGCGGGTGAGCTTTTTCTTTTCACAATATTGAAGCGCATAAAGGCTGTTCGTTACTGATAGATGGTATGCACGGCGCAGTAAATCAACCATCTTGCGCTTGTTGTTCCGCTTCTATGATGTGCATGAAGGCAGGATTCTCGTCGACGGTCAGGATATCAGGGATGTGACTATGGAGTCGTTGCGCAAGAGTATCGGTGTTGTACCGCAAGACACTCCACTGTTTAATAACACCATTGAGCATAATATCCGCTACGGCAGAATCGATGCGACGTCGGAGGAGGTGCTATGCGTCTCCAAGAGGGCGAAGATTCATGATATCATCTCCTCTTTCCCAGCGGGCTATCAAACGATGGTCGGGGAGCGTGGCATGATGATCTCAGGTGACTGACCCGGGCCCTACGATTTCTACCTTTCAAAGCTTCTAGAGCTCCCGACTAAACCAAGGAACAACATCACAGGTGGCGAAAAGCAGAGGCTTGCGGTCGCGCGAGTTATTTTGAAGGACCCGCCTCTTCTGTTCTTTGATGAAGCTGTGCGTTGCCTACTTCCGAGATCCTGATTGCAGCGGCAGACTGATAGGAATGTAGACCTCCGCACTTGATACGCACACGGAACAGGCGCTGCTCAGCAATATCAACTCCATCCTGAAAGAGAAGGAGCGAACCAGCGTGTTTGTTGCGCACCGCCTCCGCACCATCTACGACAGCGGTGAGACTACTCCCCCACACCACGCCAAACACACTCGCAACCTTCCAGAACAGCACACTAAGTTTTAACTCTCTTTTCTCCGTAGATCAAATCATCGTCCTCAAAGACGGTACCGTTGCCGAGAAACCAGGCACTCACGAGCAACTTATTAATTCTGGCGGCGTTTACTCCACCCTTTGGGCAGGTGCGTGTTTTCTCCCACTTTCGTTCTTTCTTACGTTTCCTTCGTCTTCCGTTCCTTCCTTTCTGTGGTTTCCCACCTTCTGGCGTGGGGCGGGGCAGCGGGGATGCACGTTGCTTGCTTGCGGGGAAGGCCCCGGGGTTGCCAGCCAGCTGTTTCATGCATGTTGGGGGTGCTGCGACTAACGACTAGCGTGTGCACCTTTTAGCCCAGGAAACGATGCCGACAGTGGAGGATGGCGCAACATCGTCGTCTTCTTCCACTTCTTCGACCACAAAGTCGAAGCGCTGAGTTCTCCCGGTGTTGAATTTCCAACCTCCTCCTCCTACCACCCCCCGTTATCTTTTTTGTTCTACTTTCGTCTTTTCTTCCATCCTTGAGCCTCCTCGTTTCTATGCATGATGTCTGTTCTGGTTGAGATAAGGTCCGTGTACCTGCATATT